CCCCCCTACAACGTCGTAGGGGAACAGAACCGGTCTCACTCGTTAGTGCTCTGTTTGTGCCGGTATGTACAATTGAAAGTAACTTCCTAGCGGGTTCTTTTTCGGATAGTGACCTTAAGGAATGAGGGGAGTTTAATTATTTGTGCTGTTTGTAGGTAGGCAAACTTCACAAAGCTCTTTAAACGATTAATTACAGTAGGTGAACTGGTGAAGGGCTGAGAGTCACATTCTTACATGGGCTTAATTTTTAATTACATGGACTTTTAATTTAGGCATATAAAGGGATTCATGGTGGCAGTTGAAGTTAGGGTAAGGTTTGTCAGAAGGTTTTATTCACTTTTCTAGTGGCTTCACTTGAATTCTATAATAATCAACCAATAACAAAAAAAAGAGTCCCATGTCAAGCAAAATGTATGATATGATATTAAAATATATTTGGGGAAATAGATTTAGTAGCTCTAATAAGATCTAAAAAGAATTAATCATATATGGGGTGGAGAGGTGGCACTGTGACTAAGGATCTGCACCTGTGGCTAGAAGGTTGCTGGTTCAAATCCCATGGCCAACAGAGAAATTCTACTCTGTTAGGACCTTGTGCTCTGACCCCAAGCAAATTCCTAATACAATAAGTTGTATATGGCTAATAAAGTGATCTTATCTTAGAAATTGCTTCCATAGATATTGGGTACCCATGCAGCCAAGAAGGCTGTGAGTAGAAATGAGGAAATCTCAGACAGGACAAGTCTCCAGATTTAAATCCAGCTGAGTATCTTACATGCTGAGGGAAAAGTGTAAGAACACCTCAAGTGTAAGTAAAAACACAAAGTGTCTCTATGGGTTGCAAACTAAATGCAGTTGTTGCTTTAGGGGATATACAACCAAAATGTGTCTCAGTACTTATGATCACTTAGAAAGACTGGGTTGAACACAAAGTACATTTTTGGTTTAGCTAAATGACTAAATAAATGTATGAATTCAACATTTTCCATATTTAATATTAATTACTTAAAATTAAAATATATTGTAATTATTATTCAATTAACTTCATGATCATCAATAAAAAAAAGTGATTGACTGTAAAGAGCAAAGTTTAAACTTTGCTGACAAAATACTTTTTTAGGACCTGTTATGTTACTATTCTCTAACACTCTACAATAATTAATTTTGATAAACTTACTCATACAATTTGTACCCATAATGGTATGTTGAAAATTTTCACTATTACTGTTTCTTTTAAAGAGTGTTAAGTATTTTGAGTTTTACTTGATAGGTACAGATATGTTACCCACCCCAAATGATACTCCACCTGGGATGGAAACAATTCCCACAGGGTTTTGCTTTCAGTTGAGTTCTTTATCACAGGTTAATTTATTTGAATTTTCAACCTGATGCAGATTTTAAATTTGCTTTGAAGACTTAAAATCCTTTCATTCTAGAGCATTATCTCAAATGTAATACCAATGATCTCTACAGAATGGGGGGTAAACTGCTCATTGTATTTAAACAAAAATAAGAAAACAAACTCTTAAAAAACACATCGAGAATAGTCTTCTTAAAGTTCTGTATGCTAGATTAGGGTATTTTGTAACCACAAATTTACAGTTTCCATCATGTTCCATTATGTTATTGTTCACTGAGTTTTTACCTACTGTTTTGTGATTACGAAACATTAACATTTCTTCTGATTTCGTTTCAATCAGAAGAACTAAAATTTCTCCATAATTATCATCTCGTGTTTGCTATTTCAGAATTAACTATCCTACGTTAATTTAATGGTGCAATCATTAACAGAATTATATTAATATAAAATATATTTGACATGTTTAAGAGACTTGCTAAATCAGATAGCCTGAGATTACGTTTGATTCCCAGTACTACATCTCTACTACATTTTTCAGCCTGGATGAAAACGTTTTTCCTCGAATCAGGCGATGTAAAAAATTGTTCGACTGGAATAAAAACAAACTACAATTTTTATTATTAATACAAAACAGCATTTATATAGAAAAATATTATCTTAATCGAATCAAGTGAAACGCTGTTTTTTTCTTAAACAAAATATCTAATTCTTTAAGAAATGTTTCCGTTCTGATGTTTCAGCAACGTACAGAGACCTATTATGGATAGCTGTTTCTTTCGGCAAAAAGCCTTTAAGATATAAGTGCAGTGTTCGGCCGGCATTTAATGTTTTGGCTATAAAATAATTAACTGCAAGTGCCAGAATCCTTTTCTTCTGTTTTCAAGCAAGGCAAGATGGGACTTGATGTTCAACCCAACCAGCGTGGCACCAGCTTTCTCGGTCCATTGCTTCCTGAAAAACAACACTTCCCGAAACGCCAAACACTTTCTGCAATTTTGGGGCCCGCCCCTTGTAATGGACGAGTATGAGCTGCAAAAGGGGAAAGGCGAAGAAATATTTTTTCGAAAATATACTTTATTATTCAGTTATGTGCGTTTAATCTTTCTATGCAGAACTGTCCTTAGCTGGAGTTTAAAGTAAGATATAGGTCCGTATACCTTGTTTCATGAATTTTAATTGTGATTTAGGATTGCACCAACCCCCTCCTCAGACCTGGGCGCAGAGGGGATCGGGTAGGCCTGAGCTCATCCCCGAACTCTAGTATGCTGTAGTGGCGGGGTCTAATGAGCTATGGCAAGGTAGCAGTGCCGAGGATTAGCTGGCAGGCAAACACAGTCGAGCGGATCAACGGTGACGACAAGGGCTCAGGGATGTGCAAATAGGCTTCAAGAAACCCCCTTAATCCATGTGCTGGTAACATTTAAATAGAAACAGTGTTTCCAGGCATTGCCGTGCTTTCAACGCATTCCACCAGATAAAGAAGGTAAGACGGCAACTTCGATTAATCTATTAAGCTAATTGCTCAGTTTAGTGATACATTAAGGTGCAGCTGAAACTGGAGGGGGATCAATAATTTAATGTAGTGCAAAATCTAAGGTTGTCGACATGGGTCCGAATTGTGATCAGATAGGTTAGCGTGTCTGATGTACACAACGTCATTCCTGTTGTTTTAAAAGCCATGGTCAAACCAGCTCCTTTCTTCACAAGCCCAGAGGTGCCTTGCAAAATTAATATTACACGTTGTGTCCTTATAATTGCAGTTAAGGTTATGCTTAGAAACAGAAGAGAAAGAAAGTAAAGAAGTTGAGTATATTTTCAGAGTTTCAAATCTACACTTTGTCCTACTAAGGACCGTGGCCAACAGCTTCTGTGGTAGAGAGCGCACCTTTGCTCCAGATTTGAATGTGCAATACACAGTGAAATAAGACAGTTAACCAATGTGCAAGAGTTTCAATTTGTATTCAAACAAGTCACCTCACTTTTCCGCAGGCTTATTAGAGGATTTATAAATAACTGGGTGTTGGATCCACTGGTTGGGTGGCCGACTTCTATCTTTGATGAGCACAGATTATACTTTCTCTAATTTGACTCAATTTCTCTTCTGTTTTCGCTATTCGGGTCCGAGGAAGCACCGGAAAAAGGCTCCACAGCCGAAACGTGTTTTCTTTCTTCTCTTTTCAGCACGGAATAAGCCTATTACTTGTTCCTTTGAAGAGTAATGGTGTTTACATTTATTTAACATACAGAAATTACAAGTTTGCGTTTTATGCTTCACAGTGAACATACATAGCTCGCTCTATGTTTTCTTGTACAGGTGCTTGTAATCCATGGTTAAGTCACATTTTATTAATTTGAAATAACAGGACAAGATTTAAAACAACAATTTAAAGTGCATGTAACCTAAAAAAGCAAACAATGAAAATATAAACATTCAATTAATATTATCCTTTGAATTTAAAAGACTAATAAAATGACATTACTTTCAAGTAATACTTTTTAAAAAGATAAAAGGCAAACATTAACAATGGAAAAACTGTAAAAGATGATAACACCATATCGATTCATTGTAGAAATATTGTTGCGTCCTCTTTGTGGCAAGCATAGAGTATTGCTTTCAGGCCAAATAATTCCGTTATTGGTTCATGAGATGAAAGAAACTTCTGCCAACTGATCTCCAGGGTTTGTCGTGTGCCATTACTACCCATCTAGAGTCCCACCCATAGAGGCTAAATCTGGGTAAACCTGAACCTAAACCTGAAGAAGGCTCCACAGCCGAAAGGTTGTGTTTCCTTTCTTCTCTTTTCAGCATGGGATAAACCTATTACTTGTTCCTTTAAATCTGGGTAGTGCTGCAGAGACTGCTGTCATTGTTGTGATCCCATCTCAGCCATGGAACTCCATAGCTTTGTCAGGGTGGTCACTTGGTTCTCGGTTGCTTCTTTAACCAAGCTCCTTCTTGCCAGTTGCTAGCAAGTGTCTGGGTGGTTCTGTATTCACTCAATTTCATAATGTTTGCTCTTGGGAATCTTTAATATCATTATGTTATATACTCCTTTCCTGATGTCTTGTACTCATTTCTGTTTGAGGTTGCAACACAACAAATTGTAAAAACATCCAAGGAAGGATTTATATAAATAGTACATTGCAGCTGCAATGTGCAATAGTCCATGTGGTGTTGGCTTTGTGTGGTCATGGGTGATGCTGTCACTGTAATGATGGCACTGTGCTTTTGATGATCTATGAGAAATGGGATTGTGCTGCAGTGGCCTTTGTGGTGATGGCACTGTGTTGTAATGGCTTTGGGTGTAATGGGAGATGGCTCTGTGCTGCAATTGTACTTGTAATGTGACACTGTGCTGTTTTTATCTATATGCCGAAGGCTATGTGCTGAAATAACTGGTACCTGAAGTACATGATCAGTCTTTTTTCTGTGTAGGGTTTTTTAATTGGTCCAGCATATTCTGGAAGTGTTAACAAAGTGGGCTGGGAGATACGGCCTAAAATTAATATATTTATATTTTTTCTACTTTTTTTTCCTTTCTCTGCCACCATTTTTTAAATCCGCTTCACGTTGCAATTTACAAACACGACATCCACTTGCATTGTGACTGCTGCTTCTACAGCCGACTACTCCCCGATGAAATTGTTCAGCTGATTACTTTTAACCTCCTGCTACTGCATTGATTCAGGATTTCCTTCCCGTCTTGTTGCATCGTCGCAGATTCTTCTAACATGCTTCTAAGGTACACCTCACTGCAACGGCTGCAACTAAAACAGAATGATTTCCTGGTAAAAGACACATTTGATTATTGCTGTAATATTGGGATCTTATAACCGATGCGTTCCATCCATCCCGGCACAGAACGCTGTTTCTTTCCTTCTTCTACGCACAGAGTCTCTATCCCTGCCTCTTGGCGCAAGACTGGAAGTCCATCCTGCACCAGCGCCGACCTAAAAAAAATTACTCTCACTACTGCACTTGGAACCCACTCCGCTTCCCCCTGGATCCTCGAGACTGGCCAGATCAGCACTAAACTCCATGAACAATAAGTCTCTTTTTATATGTGACTTTATTTCAGATAAAACACTGGACATTCTGTGCTTAACCGAAACCTGGCACAGACAAAACGATGGTCTCCTGCTTAACCAACTAGCCCCTTCTGGGTATGGGTTGTTTGACCTTCCGCGTCTCTCAGGCAGAGGTGGGGACATAATTGTTAGTTACAATCTTCTTTAAAATTTAAGTCCCATTACTTTACCTCTTCCCTCCTCTTTTGAGTGTCTTGTTTTAAATGTCTCTGTACCCCACTCTACTATCATTGCCACAGTTTATAGACCACCCAAACCTAACAGTGCCCTTTTAGGTGAGTTTACGGATTTACTTTCATTTTTATGCCTCAGATTTAAGAGGATCCTTGTTCTTGGGGACTTTAATATACACATTGACTCAAGGTTTTCCAGTTTGGCTAAGGATATTCTAGCTCTATTGGGATGCTTTGATCTTACTCAGTTTGTTCGTAGCCCAACACATAACGAAGGACACACCCTAGACTTAATCATTGCAAATGACTCTTGCTTCCCACTGCACTTCCCTTGAACTAAGCCTCTCTGACCACTTAGCTATTTTTTTCAATCTGGAATTACCTGTTTCTAATACTTCCCACTAACACTCCGTACATTTTTGCAACTGGCAATCAGTTGATCAGCCTAGGTTCACAAATTCTGTTCTATCCTCCTTATCTTGTTTCTCTACCTCTGACCTGCTAGAGGACAAAATATATTTGCTTAATGGCACTCTTTTATCTACCTTGACACCTTTTCTCTTCTAAGAACTCGAACTCTCTCTTTTTCTCGCTCTGCCTCCTGGTACACTGACCATCTTCAATGTCCCAGAAACTTGAGCATAGGTGGCATCTTTCTGGCCTAAACGTACATTATCAGGCTTGGAAAGATTACTTGTCTGAATATAAGGATATGACAGAGTCTGCTAGATTTAGCTACTTCTCTCACATCACTGAAAATAACCATAACAACCCTAAACACCTTTTCTCCACCATCAACAGACTGGCCCACCACATTTTGTAACTTTGTAACACATTTTTAGATTTCTTTAGCTCCAAGATCGGCAACATCTGGCATAACTTTCTCTCTACAATGCATATCATTCACACATCTCCTTCCTCCTTATCCAACTTTTCTGGTTCCCTTCTCTCCAACTTCACTCTTCTTGACTCTGCATCCCTCAGTAAACTAGTTTCACGCATGAAATCCACCACCTCTATATAAGATCCCATTCCCACCACTTTATTTCAGTCCTGTTTCACTTCTCTCTGCCCCGTTGTCTTCAATATAACAAAAATGAATCCTTGAGCACTGGTGTTGTACCAACGGTCCTTAATAACTGCTGCCATTACCCCCGTGCCAAAAAAGCCTAACATGGCTCTGGACAATCTAAATAATTTTTGCCCCATCTCCAACTTACCCTTTCTTGCAAAAGTTCTAGAACGTGCTGTCACATTTCAATTATATAGCCACCTTATTGTAAATAACCTTTTTAAACCCCTCCAATCTGGCTTTCGTCAACTTCACGGCACAGAAACTGCCCTGGTCAAAGTTACCAGTGATCTTCTAATAGCTTCTGATTCTGGTTCTCTTTCTTCTTGATCTCAGTGCTGCTTTCGACATTGTTAACCATGACAGCTTACTTTCTCGCCTTGAGACTGTGTTTGGAGTTTCTGACACTGCTGATCACTGTCACTTTGTCTCTCTTGGCAGATTTAGGTCTGAAATTGGTCACATTAAGTCTGGTTTTCCTCAGGGCTCAATACTTGGTCCCCTACTTTTCAGTATTTACATGTTTCCACTTGGTCAGCTTTTAAGATCACATGGCCTCAACTATCATTTCTATGCTGATGATACTAAAATATACATCCATATCAAACCTGACACTGATGTGGCTGTTTCTAATAGCATCTCTGACATAAAAACTTGGATGACTCAATATTTTCTTAATCTTAATGTTGACAAGATCAAAATCATGCTTATTGGCACCCCCCATCAACTTTGTAAAGCCAGTCCTGTAACCCTGTCTGTGGATGTTACTGTACTTAAGCTTCAGTCTAAATTGAAAAATCCTTGGGGTGATTTTTGATTGGCTTAACATTTGACCCACATCTGCAGTATGGTGTTAAAAGACCTTTTCTTCAAGTTATCAAGTTAGTTATCACTAACTGTGGCTGAAAAGCTGATCAACAAATTTGTCTTCTCCCGAATTGACTACTGTCATGCTCCACTCTCTGGGGGGTATCTAAATGCACATTGAACAAACTCCAGTATGTCCAAAATTAAGCAGCCAGATTCCTGACCAGGTCTAAGTGATCACATTACTCCTATCCTGGAGTCCTTGCACTGGCTTCCTGTCAAGTTTCGTGTCTACTTTAGAATCCTCATGCTCACCTATAAGGCTCTGCGTGGCTAATTCTGATTTCCTAACTGTCCCCCAAGCCTGTCTACACTCTATGGGTGACAGGGCCTTCTCCTGTTATGCCCCTAAGCTCTGGAACTCTCTCCCCAAGGATATCAGAGAGTCACCTTCTCTAAACTCCTTCATATCCAGCCTCAAAACCTTCTGCTTTAGAAGAGCCTTTGCTTAACTGGTTTTATTCCTTACCCTTCTGCTTCTACTGTATTTAGTACCACCATCTACTGGCTCCTCTGTGTATTCTCATTGTGTTTATCTTGTGTATTTTTTATTGTTTATTTTTAATTGTTGTTGTTTTTGTCATTCTGTAAGGCGCTTCGAGAAGCCACCTTTAAAGGTATATAAAGATTATTATATCACGGTATAATTTTAGTTTTGGACGGTAATGATATACATTACAACATATAATATACATTTTTTTTCTCATCCTTTCAATAGAACATGCTCTAAAAGGAGTACAAGACTTGGATAGTAAATAAGTTGCCTGGAGTTAACTATTAGGTTATTATTAACTATTGGTTAGCTACTGTGTTTTTCCTTTAGTATTTTTGAAATTTCACATTGAACTGAAGTAGAAGTCGATCATTTTAAGAACATTTTTATTTTGCAGAACTGAAACAATACAATAAACTTATGAACATAAATTAAATAAGTAAATATGTAATACTTCAAAGTATGGCTGTGAAGTGCGGCTCGACCACAGGTCAGTTGTAGTAGAAAAGTGTGTAATACTGGCAAGTTCTTCCTCCACTTTATCAGGACAGATGCTGTACAACTTTGGGATTTCGGTTTGATTGAAATATTTGCAGGTTTGGTGTTACATAGCAGGAATCCAGTGTTTTCACCAGTGCCTTAAAGCCATCTCTCTCAGTGGTTTGGATGGGTACCATGTCCTTACACAGGTACACAGTTATGGTATGTATAATGTCCTTCCACCACTGGCTTTTCTTATCATAAGGACAATGACTAGTTAATGACTCAGGCAGCAATGTCTGCATTGTGCCTTTTTTTTCCACATTGACACTAGAACTGCTTGATTCGGAGCGCATTCTCGTGCTTTCGTCATACTCACATACATGTTTCATCTTTAGGTGATTCTAAATAAAGAATTCTATAATTGGAGCTAAAATATGGCAGAATTTTAAACTATGACAGGTCAATCATAAAAATTTCCAAACCCCGTTTTGCAACGATGCTGGCGGCGCCATTTATGTAAACATCAAAATCCATTCTTTACAGGTATAAACAGTATAGCCAAATCCATATCATGGCACATATTTCTACTGGTATACCGTCTATATCGGTTATACCGCCCACCCCCATGCCCATCTTTAGACTGTGGATATTTCAGACTTCCTTCATTTTGAGCAAATTGTGAACAAGCAGATGTGAATTATATTCATATTCCCATCTCTCTGTCCTGGTTCTTTTCCAGGTTACCCAGTATGGAGCGAGCCGGCAGCATCCAGCTAGAGATCCCTGACTTCAGTAACTCGGTCCTGTCCCACCTGAATCAGCTGCGCATGCAAGGCCGCCTGTGTGACATCATTGTCAACGTGCAGGGACAGAGCTTCCGTGCTCACAAGGTAGTCCTGGCTGCCAGCTCGCCCTACTTCCGTGATCACATGTCCCTGAGCGAGATGAGCACAGTCTCCTTGTCCGTCATCCGTAACCCCACTGTCTTTGAGCAGCTGCTCTCCTTCTGCTACACCGGCCGACTGTGCCTGCAGCTGGCCGATATCATCAGCTACCTGACAGCGGCCAGCTTCCTGCAGATGCAGCACATCATCGACAAGTGCACCCAGATCCTGGAGAGCATCCACTTCAAGATCAGCGTGGCTGACGTGGAGGCCGAGCTGAGCCAGGGAGCGCGGGGTAAGCACCAGGACCGGTCGCTGGAGTCCAGCCGGGGTGGTGCACCCCGCTCTCTCAGCCCACGTCATGGGAGCCCCCGGGGCAGCCGTCGTAGTGGGGGAGGGGTAATTGATGTGAGCCCCCAGATCATTGAGCATGGTGCTTCAGAGGGACTGGGCAAGGAGCCCATCCTGCGCATCAACCGGGCCGGCCAGTGGTATGTGGAGACTGGGCTAGAGGCGGGGCGGGGGGGCGCGCTGGATGAGGATGTGCGGGTGGTGGACGGACTGCGGATCAAGACAGAGCGGCTGGAGGAGTGGATGGCAGCTGAGACACAGGCCTCCGGGGAGGAGGGAAGCAGTGCTGAGGAAGTGACGGCCATGATGATCGACACCACTGGCCACAGCTCACTCCCCCAGGAGGGCTTCAGCATGGGGGCTTCAGGAGCCAAGGGCTCCCAGCCCTCCAGCAGCTTCAGCGAAACAGACAGGTACGTGTGGAGCCAGGCCCTCGGCCTGAATGCCTGGAGCTCAGTTCGGGAGTTCAATGGCAAATCATGTCAAAACTTAAGTTAAGATTCACAATCGGGCTAAAACTACTACAGGATGTGAATTATTTAGGTGTTATTAAGTGCTGAACTACTGAAAGAGAAGCAGAAATTTCCTTTGGATTCTGAGGCTGGGAGCAGTAAGTGCCGACCATCTACATGCTTTTGTGTGTGTAAGCATCTGGGTCGCTGTATTAACATGGTAGTCTTTGATAGTGGTAGTCTGTATTGATGAGTGAGTGCAAGAGTTTGTTCCTCATAGGGTGTCTCTTTTCTGCCAGGTTCAGCCCCACTGGCAGTGTGGTGGTGGTGGCGGAGCGGCAGAGAGCCAAGAGCGAGTCTCCATGGAGGGTGGATGATCAGAGACAGCCCACTTCACAGGTACACTACCCTGTTTCACCTTCAGGCGATCCTGAGCTCCCTGTTGGATTAAGGTCTTTTTTTTTTTTCAAGCCCCACAAAGGCAGCAGGAAACAAACTTTAGATTCAGGAAGGAAGATTTCAGCCATGGACGTTTTTGCCATGAAACCAAGACTAACACAAGGATATCAGTTGACCATCTACAGAAAATCACCCCTTATCAATGCTCTGGGTGCTGTGTGTTGTGGATTTTAATCTTTTGCTAGCCCTGAGTTAATAAAGATGACCATGTGTGTCTGTGGCTTAGACTACGTGGCATTGCAACACTGCAGACAGAGGCCTCAATGTATTTTAAATCATTAAGAGTAGACATCTAGACTGAATAAGCAAACAACACAGAATGTGAAAGCAACTTGGAAAACATAAGCAGAGACAGCATAAAGGTCTTTTAACATATCAGATAACACTATCTTTGTCAGGAAGCTGATTGTGATAGTTGCATGAAGCCAGTTTAAAACCTCAGCATGCTTTCATTTTCTTTTTTCTCACCATCTGAGCATATCCTCTAAGAAAAAGACGAGACGTGCTACGGATAAATCATAGGGCCCTGCCAGAATTCATTGTCAGAGGTTCCAAGGTCCAGACAGACAATAGGATGTTAGTAGTGTCACAGTCTTCTTGTGATGGGATTTCTTCTTCCTTTTTTCACCTTTGTTTCATTTATCAGATTAAATTAGTCTGCATGGCTAAAAGTACTCCCTGTATATTTCTCACAAGTCAGTCTCGAATGAGACTGAAAGTGGAAAAAGTGATGCCTTAAAGAAAGAGCTGGGTCTGCAACTTGATTGTCTGGTGTCAGATCACACACTCATCTGGTCACTTCAAACATTAATGCAGCTTTAAGAGAAATTTAACTGTGATGGCTGTCAGTCGTAGCAACAGAAAAAAAATGATTGTGGCTGAAATTATGAAAAGCCATTTTTACCGTGTTCAGTCCTGTAAAGAGAGTGTTGTTTAAGTGTGGTGATAGAAATTTATATAAAGCAACCAAATATGACTTTGGGTGTGCAGTGCAGAAAGCAAAGGCCCAATACAGAGATCAGTTAGAAAGCAAAATGAATAGCAAAGAGGGAAGGGGGTAAGGCAGGGCCTTCAGCAGATTACGGACTGGGCAAGAACCCTCTTGATGATGATGATCCAAAGCTTCCAGACAAGTTGAACAATTTCTACAGTAGATTTGAGGTACAAGACTGCCTTCAACAAATAGTTAATGTTTTTTTCTAGAAACCTCTTCCCCTCCCTTTATCCTTGGTGAACATGAGGTTAGATACCAGTTTCGCAAACAAAATGGCAGGAAAGCCGGGGGCCCAGATCATGTTTCAGGTTCAACTTTAAAATCATGTGCAGATCAGCTGTCACCCATCCTAAGGTGTTTGATGTGTCACTGCAACAGTCTAGGATTCGTGCTTGTTTTAAGTCTGCGTTTCCAAAGAAATCAATCAATCAATTATTAAATACTGGCTATGATTCAGTGATTACTGCCTTTAACACAGAAGTCCCCCAGAGGCTCTTTCATCATCTGATTGACATGGGTGTAAATCAATCAGTGTGTTTCTGGTTTCCAGATTTTTTTCAGGCAAGAGGCAGGTGGTCAAAGTACACCAGAAACACTCTCAGCCACTGGTTTTAAATATAGGTGCACCCCAAAGCTGCTGTATGTCACCACTTGTGTACTCCTTGTATGCTAATGATTGTGTTATGTCCTACCGAATATGTGAAATTAATTCATTTGGCAGGGCTCCTATCCCAGTCCCTCTGAACCACAATGGCTGGGCTAAGAACTAAAAATGACAAATCTCTTTAAAGGAAGGAGGTGGCTGATTTTGTGAGCTGGTGCAGTCAAACCAATGTCTAGCTAAATGTTACTAAAATCAAAGAAGTAATCTTTCATTTCAAATGTGACAAGAATGAACTACAACCTCTTTAGATTGATGGTCAGTGGAGATGGCAGATACCTTTACGTTTCTTGGCACAACGATCTCCTCCACTTTGGAATGGGTGACCAATGTGCACCAGATAGTGAAGAAAGCCCATCAGAGACTCTTTTCACAGGCAGCTCAGAATGTTTGGTGTGTATCAGGAAGCCATGGTCCATTTTTACTGGGCAACAATTGAGAGCATGTTAACTTTTTCTGTAATGGTCTAGTGTGGGAAAGTAGCCACTTGGGAGAGGAAACAGGTGCAGATTTTAATCCACACTGCTTGTAAAATATTTGGCTGTGACCATCTGTTGCTTCCACATATGCAAAACATTTAAATAAAAAAATGAAGATAATCAGCAACCATTCCCACCCAGCATTTCCCTCGGCATGTGTGAAATCTAGAACAGAGCGGTTTTCAGAAGAGCACCTGCCCTGAGGCTATTCAGTCTCTGTTATAAAAGTGTTATAAAAGTGTTTATTAGAGTACTTACTGATAAATGTGTGGATATCTTAATTTAAATGTAGCAGCATAGTGTATTTAGTTTTGTCTGTTGTTCATGGTTTTTCTTTCTCTTCTTTTATCTGTTTTTTGTATCAAAGGTTGGTTTGGCAGTAAGACTTTAACTTTGAGGGAGACGACAAAAGTGTGTTAAAAGCTCGAGAGCTGATCAAGGGAGTTTGTATATATCCACTAGCTGCTTACATCTAACGCTGTCCTCCTGTTGTCCCCTTCAGGGCGAGGAGCAGACAGTGTTCGACGTGGGTGGCTATGAGGAGTACTTGCGCGAGCAGGTAGGCGACCGCTGGTTCCGCTACAATCCGCGGCTCACCTGCATTTACTGCTGCAAGTCCTTCAACCAGAAGGGCAGCCTGGACCGGCACATGCGACTGCACATGGGCATCACCCCCTTCGTGTGCCGCATCTGCGGCAAGAAGTACACACGCAAGGACCAGCTGGAGTACCATATCCGCAAGCACACGGGCAACAAGCCCTTCCACTGCCACGTCTGTGGCAAGAGCTTCCCTTTCCAGGCCATCCTCAACCAGCACTTCCGCAAGAACCACCCTGGCTGCGCCCCCCAGGAGGTCTCACACAGCGCCTCCCCCGAGACCACCGTGCCCTCGCGCGGCCAGAACGAGGACGAGTCTCCCTCGCAGGAGGAAGGGGGCGCAGCCGCCTTCAGCGAGGCGGTGCAGCCTTCGGTGTCCACCACCGGGCCCGACTGATCGCTCCGATCTCTGGCCAGGGGGGCGGGGCAGGGAGAGCTGGGGGAGGAGGCGAGTGAGGCTCTGCTCTCCCAGGTGCAATCCTTGAGCTGTGTTTACAGAAGAGGGGGCCCAGCGCCCTACTCGTATGTGTGATGGATTGGACTGTATTTTTATGGCCAGGAGGCCGAAGGCTTTTCTCAGCACACGTAATGGCAGGATTCTAGTAAGTTATTGCCAAATTTGGTTTTAAGATTTTTCTCCCATCTGCCCTCACAAAATAAAGATGCACAAGGAAAAAGATGCAGTTTCCCAGCATTAGATTGAAGACTTTTTTTTCCACCCTAGTGCCCCGCAAAGTAAATGATTTGACCCCATGTGTCACTGAAGCAGAGGAGACGCAGGGTTGCAGCGGGGTGATTTTTATTTCTCTGGCCTCTTGTGTGGGTCCAAACTGAACTCATAGTAGAAGAGAAATGAGCTTCAGAGCCTCAGCCAGTACTTCATGGCTTATCTCTGTCCCAGTCCAGATATGCCAGTGCTGCTGTGTGGCCTCTGCTCAAAGGTGGGGCCTTCTTAAGGTGAGTGACAGTTTCACTTTAAAGTCCTAAAAGGACATTTGCCAAAACCTTAAGCACCAAGGAGCTTACCACTAAAGTAAACATAAAAAGAAGATTGGAAATAAACCATTCTTTTTTGTAACCTTGACTTTTATATAATCCTGATTTAAATGGATTTTTTAATTTAGTAAATACAAAAACAAGTATTTATTAATTTAAGTTGACCTCACCTTTTGCCTTGAGACAATCTTGTTGAGATTGCCAGAAATACGTTCAGTTTCAAACGGACGTGCTGCTGGAATATTTCAATATATTAACGGCGTACTTTTTTAAAGCTTGAAAACACTGACGCAGTTATTGTAGGGTCAGGTTTAACACAACAGCTGTTAAGCTGGATAAAATGAAAGTAGTTGGCTACATAAAGAAACTGAGGTGCAGTTTGCAGTGGGGATGATAAAATGACTGAGACCATTAGCTGCTGATCTTGCAGCTCTGAAGTCAGATAGGAGAGCCATCTGCTAAGTTTTCTGAACACCAGCTTACTTATGGTTGCTTCTGATACGCTGTAATCCTTCTGGCTCCTCCTGTTTCCTAGGATCCCACATTAAATGAGTGAATTAATTTTCTTTGCTCACCACTGGGCATTTCCATCTATTTGAGCATCTGATCACATTTCTTAAGACTATTTTTACTGCGGAACCTGCACTGAGGCCTTCCCTAGCCTACAGCCTAAGATCCAAGTGTCCCCCTCCAATCCAAATCTCTGACAGAGCACAGAGGATAAGCTCCAGATCCAGTGTATTTGGAGGAACCTGGATCACAAGATCTTCCACAGGAATCAGGATTAATTCCCGGTGCTGACTTTGTGCATTGTCTTTCATTACAGTCCGTTCTCATTGGGCAGTTTTGCAGCAGTGAATGCATGCACCACAGTCTCTGCTGAAATGATCTCCCACAGACAATAACAAGACATTGCTATGAAAGCAACAATGATAACACCACTCCTTTAGAATTCCACAAATGTTATGATATTTCTTGGTCCATTTAATTTCTTGTTAAATCAGCTGCTCATTTGCTATATTCAGCACAGTCAATAAGCTCATGGAGTTGCTACAGGAGCCCTGGCTTCAGTTCCCTCCTTTCAGTTTTTTTCCAGTTTTTAAAAGGTTGGGATCATGCCGGATGCTATGTGACTTTTTTTATTTTCTGTCAAAATCGTCCTCGGTTTGCGGCTGCCCGAGTAGGGCAGCTGATCTTCGCTCATCCTACAGACAGAGCCAAACTACAGGATGGGTTTAATCGTGCCAATTGGAGGAAGATGCTCTTAAGAACGTTTAGTTCTCTTTTGCGTTGACAAAATAAAGGAAGCACACTTGAACCAAAAAAGAGACCCTACAAATCCTAAAGCAATGAATTCTTTTTGCATAAAGAAATACTACAACTGTTACGCCATTGAAACCTCCACTGATGTTTTTTTAAGACTGTATAGACTTTTGATTAATGTCCAGGCGGGTTGTGCAGGAAGATTTCTCAACACGAGTGGGTAAGCAAAGGAGACTTTCTGCACTTGATAGAGCTCTAGTACAGACACACTGCCGGGAAATATGGGGGTGTGAGAGCTGTGCTCCCAGAGTGCAAACAGCCACTGCGTCAATTCCCTGAACAAAAACTAAGGAATGAAGGGTCTTTTCATTTTTCCTCCATCATGGAAGTAAGATCACGACAACGAGCACTTATAAAAGAAAATGGGACTATGAAACACTAGCTACTTTAACAAAAGGTTTTTATTTCTATAAATATATACAAATATATTTAAGCTAAATTCTATTTGTACAGCAAATAAGCCTATATTATCTAAAAAGCTAAATTTAGCAAAGTGAGAAATGCTTATTTGGACTGTTAGCAGGATTTCATTTACTTTGGCAATGGGCTGTGAATTATAAATGGGTGTGCGCCAGGTTTTACATGGTGTGTGTTCAGACGGCTACTGATTTTTTTTTTTGTTCTGTGTTTGTTGTCTTCTCCATTTTTACATTAATGTAAGAGTCAGAGCCTCAAATCAGTAAGAAACCTTGTTCCCATATCAAATGAATATTTGTGAGTGAGAGCGAGCAGACAGCTGCTGCAGGTTTTGGTCTATTTTTAGACATCCTGGGAGAGATTTGAGCTGGTTTCCATGTTCCGTTTTACTACATGTGCAAAGCATTGATCTGAAATACTATAATGACACCCTGGAAAGCAGAAAAATATAAACTGTAAGCATTTATATTTATTGTAAATCTGCAGATGCTTCATCATTATCTATGCTGGGTGTGTTTGATACAGATTTAGACTGCTTTTTAAAAGCTTTAATAGGAAATGTGAGAGCCAAATTTCTATTTACTGTGTAAATAATGAAAAGTAGTTTTAATGCAGAAGAGACTTGTGTTAACAACTTTTTAGAGAACATCGTGCACCTTTTACAAATTATAGCACATGGAGACTTTTGTCAATAAAACGCAAATAGCTAAAATTCCCATTTTTATTGTTGATTTTCATTTTAGTTCACATATCTCCATTGGTATCTCATTGGAATCAGGACATTTGCCACTATTTTTTTTTTCTGAGTGCAGGTATATTGGTACCTGCTATATTATTAAAGCATTTAAAATAGAAGTTTTAGTTATTCACCATTTAGGGCAGGATGAAATAATGCAACTGTCCTTTAATTGATATTTTGGAGGTTACCAGGTTTATTTTAACAAAGATGATACATCCAGGCATAATACTAGGTAGTCATTAAACGATGACTACACAGTGATATGATATCTTCATCTGCCTTGTGCCTGTGACCAGTACTGGCTTGCTTGAAGAGTGTAATGTTGCACTTGCCACTTCTTTCAGTTAAGAACAGTTTCAGGATGAATCCCACATTCATAGGGGCTGTAGGAGAGATTGAAATAGAATTGTTTTTAAAGAGAACAGAGCCCTGTTTTAAGTGATATCTTCCCCAAAGTCTATGTTAAGTTTTTCCTCCTGTGTGAAGTTGGATTACAAAGAGCAGTCAAGCTTTTCTTTTGAGGGTGAAAATTGTGCATGTAGATATTTTGCTTTGTTTGTTTGGTCACTACAGGATTTTAACAGCATGAAATAATCAAGGCAGATGCTCCAGTCCAAGATCTTCAAAAAAGAAAACATGGGAACTCATACAGCAACTAAATTGCTGTATAGTTACAGGGACACTGTACTGTAAACAGGCACCATTCTTCGGATGAGACGTTAAAACCAAGATCCTGACTATCTGTGGTCATTAAAAATCCCAGGGCATTTCACGAAAAGAGTAGGGGTGTAACCCTGGCATCCTGGCCAAATTTCCCATTGGCCTTTACCAATCATGGTCTCCTAATAATCCCCAATTGGCTTAATTACTCTGCTCTCCTCCCCACTGATAGCTGATGTGTGGTGAAAGTTCTCACGCACTATGGCTGCCGTCGCATCATCCAGGTGGATGCTGCACATTGGTGGTGGTGGAGGGGAGTCCCCATTACCTGTAAAGCGCTTCGAGTGGAGTGACCAGAAAAGCGCTATATAAGTGTAAGCAATTATTATTATTAAGAGAAGCAAAAGTCCGTATATTGCAGCCTTGAGCCCCTAGACACATGGAATACAAAAAGACAGGTATATTTGAATAACTTTCAAGTATGCTAACAGCAGTTTTCTATTGTGTGCTTTGGGGACTTGCATGGGTGCACCTAATTTAAATGACAGGATTCAGGGACGACCTTAAATGCTGTACATTATAAATATTTACATAGCAGTTTTCTTTATAGTGGTCTGTAGTAAGTACACTTTCAGTTTACTGTACTTCAAAACATAGCCTTCTGTAACACACTTTTTGTTTACTTTTACACTCTGGAAACCATTGATGGAATTCTTTAAACAAGAATCACTTAATCTTCATAGAAGAACGTCTTTTGTGGGGTAGTATAGTAAGCATTGCTGCTTCACAGCTGTTGGGTCCTTGCTTCATTTTCGCACTGAAAACGCATGTTTTCCCCATTCTTGCATGAGTTTTTGCTGAGTGTTCTAATTTTCTTAACTTCCAAAGCTTTACTGGATAGGTTAATCGAAACCTCTAAGAGGTGCCTGTATTTGTGTACCCTGTAATTGACTGGTGACCCTCATATCCTTACAGGAAAGACTGAGTTAACACATGAAACTGACATTTTTTAACTTAAATTCTGGTAAGTTTATGGAGGTGTGATTAATAGAACATTTTATTTTCTCTGCTTGTTCCTATTCATTATTGTTTTCAATAATGTTTTTTAGATAGATGTGTTTCTCTTTACACTAATGTGTAAGATATCTGCTTTCTGCTATAGGTTTTGGTAGCTTAACCTACCCTTAAACAGCACAGTTTCAAAAATAGTGTTATACTAGATTACAAAATACTGCAGCTCTTTATGCAACATGCCAGTATTTCTTAGTAAAAGATTGATCTCCGTTCTACTCCATTTTCAACGTTATTACATGTGTCTGCTCTCTCAGTATGCCATTCACCCTCTTTTGCAATAACAAAATACAACTTGTTTTTCCTGTGGAATCATAATTTTTAGCAGTTCATGTGGGCAGCAATAACAGCTAAAACAGTTGTAAACCTTTTGTTGTGAGAGATGGTGTGAGAATGTGAAAATGGAAAACCTAGTCACTGGTATTGTTTTTGAAGTCCATATCTGCCTGTGAGTAAAATATGAGACTCTGAACCCTGTGTAGCCCTTATATTCCTCCCCTTCACTTCCTGTCAATAAGAGAGTTCTTTCAGATGGTGTGTCTGGAATAAACTAGTATGACCATTTCACTCAATGTGAAAAACCCACAACTGCTTGCTATTGAAGATGAATGTTGTTGTATGGATTTGCTAGGCTCTCTTTACAAAAAAAATGCACCAGTAGAGCAAATTAAATCTAATTTGGAGTCTCATTTGTCAGTTTTTTTCTGTTGCATTTTAGCACTCAACTATGTATTTGCAGATATTTGCATCTTTTACTATAGAATATTTTCATCCACACTAAACTTGTGTAACAGGAGCAGTAAATTCCTTAATGTTATGAAAACTTGAAGAAAAAGAACTGTAGAGACTCTTAAATTACCCTAACATGTAATAGGTTATTTTCTGTGTTATCTTTAATAAGGTGGAACAGATTAATAGCAGTGTGGTAGGGGGAGGCTTTATCAACACAGCCTTGTGGAACCTGCTTCAGTTGTGATTCTTCGCAAACCCTGAGCTGCCCAGTCAATGATAATTTATAAACAGTAGGCTATTTTCATTTTGTATTAACATAGTTAATAGAAAAAATAGTTGCTTCAGTACGAAAAGGCATATAAGCCTATTCCTCTGGTTCCACAGCAGAACATTTTTCCAAACATATCTTTCTGTCAGTCTGTCTGTTCATTGTGTGGATGCTGTATTCCTGTGTGTCATCAGATTGCACAAGGAAAGGTTAATTTGGAATCCTTGTAAATATGTATCAACACAACAACCTATACTACCACTACATCAGCATCAATAGCTACAATTACAGTATTTCAACTCATTTTAACACCTCAGTCAGTTTATTTACAAAACCAAGCACTTTAAGTGTTACTGTGAAGGATAGGTTATATAATTATTTTTATTCACGTTTTCACAGAAGGCCAAAGGCTTTCCTAATAATGCTGATTCTGGGCACTCCTTGTGTGAAATATATCTTGCGGTTTTTAGCCAGTGAAACGCCCCACTGTTGCCCTGGGACACTCGTGGGATTGATTTTTAAATAAATGCATGGGTTATTAAGCTTTAATTCTACTAAAATATAATAATAGTAAGGGGGTGGCCCTGATCAGTGCAATCAGACTGTATTATTAACCTCATTAAAGGAAGGCTTTGTTTTAGCGGTAGAGAATTAAAGACATGCATGTGATCCTGTAGGTGTTCGACTGTGTCTGAACTGAAGGGGGACAGTAAAATCCCACTCCAGGTCCCACTGACTTGAACCCTGTCCCTTTGTATTTTGTGTTCAGAGTGAATACATATTTACCTGTTACAGGGTTTTTCTAAAGCTTTTAACAAGCCCCTTTCCCTGATATATTTTTTAGCTGTGTATTTAACTCAGTGGTGCTGAAACACGTAAGAATGCTGTATGGTGTTCATGTTTTTTTTCCTTTGTTACTAAAGTTGTGCATTTTTTATTTAAACACTGAATATAAAATAAAAACAGAAAACCCTTACTACATCCTGAGTTTTCTGTGGTTTTATTGAATACAAAACTTGTGAATAAGGTGAAATTTGATTTATGATTTAACAAATTAGTGCCCTCAGTTCCTTCCTCTACTATGAAGTTTCTGTCCAGCCCATTCACTGCTGCACGTTTGACAATAGTGAATACTATTTGTGCATTGACAGGATAGGCCTTTCAGCCCATAAAGCCCAGAGTACTGGCAAGAACTAAAACAGGCCTCTCTCACCTCCCTTACTCACAAGTTCCCAGGCTGCAGTATAGTGACAAGGACTTCTGCCTCCATACCAGAGCTTCCTGAACAGCTTTGCACTGCCCTGTTTAAGCGTCCAATGATCAGACTGTCACACAGTTGTCTTCTACGCTTAACCTGGAAAACCCCAGTCTTATTTTAAGTCATGGATTTAATTCACTGAGAACAGAGCTCAGTTACAGAGAACAGATGTCTTCTTGTAGCTCTCCAGGGCCAAAACAGGATGCAGCTTCTCCACTTGAGCCAGAAAGGAACAATAGACCTATCCATACTGCAAAAAAGACCTTTTCATCCCTAAGAAAAAGCAGAGTTCTCAGATCATTATATAGAAACATATCATTAGAGTTTAAGCTCATATCCATGGTAACAGTGGTATCAGGTATTATCTAGAGCTGCACTGTAGCTTTATCTAGTTTATAACAGTATCTCCACATACATTGTATCCTGTCAAACAGACTACAGTCACCGGTTAATTGTTTAGGATTCTCAAAACCTTTAAACAAGTGCCAAACAGGCAAATGAGAAAACTCGCAAGAGATTGTGGTGTGGTAAAGAATGTATTTAATCCAAAGCAACTGGATTTCATTTGGTGCAGAAATAGAGCAAATAGTGCACAAGGGCAAAAGTTACTGAAAGTCACCCCACTGTTGCAGGGATCCCTGACACTAGTTCAGGAGAGCTCATGATCCAGCAGGTATTATAGGTCACTGTTAAATCATCACTTTCTGAAGACTGATCAATTTGTGATCAATTAAATGTGATTTAAAATACAAAGATTAAACTTTATTAGACATTGTGTAATTGACTGACTACACAGATACTGTGCAAAAGCCATGTGGGGCCAAAGGATCTTGCAGTCTTTTCAGAAGGATGCCAGCATTTCTTGGGTTTAGAAGTATTTTCTAATGAGGTTTTTGTCTTCTGTAAAAATTTCACATAGGAACAGCTATGTGAAATACATGCCTTTACCATCACATTCAAAATAGTAATAAAATATTAACCTACATAATAGAAATCTGGGAACAGTAAAACTTTAATTCACAATGTGGTACATTCACAATGTGGTTAAGAAAACTGGGGTGCGTGGGCTCTCTTTTTGAGTGTAAAAGATAACAAAACTTCAACACAGCAGGCAGAAAAGCCCTCCACAGATGAAGATTGTTGTGTGTGGACTTCAGATGGTGTACAGTCACTGTTTGCGATAGCCATAGACTGGGATCAAGGGCTCCGCTATGAGTTTTATTCGCTGCTCCCGCAAGGGTCTGCTACACGACCCATGAAGATCATGGCATTGATGGAGGCCTCCCGGATCATCAGCAGGAAGGGCTTGTTGGCAATGAACACCTCCCGGTTCAGGTTGATGGAACGGCCCATAGCAATGAGTACTGTGCTGGCTGCAGCCTCGCTGCCTTCCTCATTCACCTGCAGCACAGAAACAGCCTGTTAGGATCACAACCCAGAGAGGCACAGCCCGGAGAGACACAGTGCCTCTTTGAGGTCACAACCCAGAAAGACACAGCACCTCCTTGAGGTCACAACCCAGAGAGAAACAGGACTTTCTTGTGGTCACAACCCAGAGAGACACAGCACCTGTCAAAACCTAGAGAGAAACACCACCTCCTTGAGGTCAGGCCACAGAACAGCACAGCACCTCAATCAGTGCCCCAGTAATCAAGGAACACTTCAAGTAATTCTCCATCAGAAGTCATTCCAAATTTTTTAACCACATACTGAACAAATAGCCCTTTTTTTTTGTCTGAGATATTCATCTCAACTCATTACTTAATAAGAACACTAAAAGAATGATCCTTACAATATTCAAGACCTACAAACTGAAATCAAAGTCACAATTACATCAACATGAATATAACTAATTATTAATTACATTAATATAATTTAAATTAGTCAGTTGCAGATTTTCCATACAAATTCATAATACCACATCAACTGCCTGGGTTTTATTTTTTTAGGTTTGAGGTTGACTGAGAATTCTAAAGGGAATTTCTATCATTTTTTGGTGATTACCCATGCTGAATGTTGAATAATGTTGGTTAGTGATTAAGGAACAATGAGCTTTTAAATCAAATTAGTACAGATATAGGTGTAATTGAGTAATTTGAAACAAAACTGGACTATAGCTTATGAGCTTTGGTGTTCTCAGCTGGCAAATTTGCTTGAATCTTTTGGAGGTCATTCACTTAGCATTTGGTGAAATGAAGACTTCATATTTTTAAAATACTATTTTTCTAAAGGCTGTTTCACATATGCAGTGGAATTCTCTGTTTTAAAGCAATTTTAAATCGGAACCTCCTCCTTGAAGAACTGGATGGCACAACAGTCCTGAATATTTGCTGCCTGTACTTTCAGAATCAGGATTGTTCTGTTTGGAACTCTGCTCATCCAGTACATAGGTCAAACATGGTCATAACCCCCTCTGAGCATGTACAGATTCTGCATCAGGAATGAACAGGAATCCCACACACAGAATATTATTAACCTGGTACTTACTTGTATAAAGTAAAGGACGACACTTAAAATGTTATCTACCTTTCCCAACATGCATGTCTTTTAACTTCTGACTATTTTCATGTACAAATGTCTGCTTTCATTCAAAGACTATGACTATATTTGATAATCAAGTACCAGCACATGAATGGACATGCAAACAGTGAATGGAGCTCCTCTGTCTGCAACCAGAGTGTTCATCACTGGTGCTGAATATTAAGATATTAGCTCTAAACATTCAGCAAACCTTTAATTTAATTTAACCTTTAAAATGCTTTACTTTTATGAAGGAGATAAAAAAGGAATTTTCAGTTATTTTATTGAAAAGAATTATGTAATAAAATTACAGAAGTTTATGTTATCTGTTACTAGAGTGTCTTAAGGAAAAATCCTAGTTTACTTACTTCTAAGAAGGCTTTATGGAAAGCTTCTGAGATGAACAGTTCATCCCTTCCATTTTCAAGAATACCTGAAAAACAGAACATATGAGATAAAGACACAAATATATAAGGCAATCATATAACAAACTAATTGTTATTAGTTCCAACACCTATTTGATGCATTTTTTATGTCTTTCAGTATAGATATGTAATTGACTTGCTTAACAGATACAGTTTAAAAAGACTAAGGTTCAGAATGACTTGTAAAAAATGCATTTTGTTTTTCAATACGTGTTGAATATATATTGGAAGATCTCAGGGATATTCTGCAGGTAATCATGGACCCCTGGTGATCCAACCTCATTTGACATAGACGTGGGATATTCTCATAGCCACCATACCTGGTAAGCTGGCCTTGTTACTGTCAAACAGGTCAACCAGGCCCATTTTCTGGAGCTTCTCCTTCAGACTGAAGCTGTCCTCGATGCGGAAGCGAGGGATCTGTGTGGCCACTGTGATCTCCTTCATGGTGTCCAGCCAACCCATGAGCCTCTTCAGACTCAGATCCTTCTCCACCTCGGCCAGGGAGGTGCCCGTCATGGGGAGGATGAGCACCATTGTGATTGCGTTGCCCTTATAGGGCAGCTCCAGCACTTTGACCTTGTCTTTCTGGAACTTTCCATAGCGGAACTTATTCTCCTGGTACATCATTGACACAGAGCAAGATTCCTTATCGGTCTTGTGGAAGTCGGCCTTGAAGACGCTTTCCTTTTCAAACTTGTTCATCCATTGCCCCTGCCAGGAAGGGAAGAAGACAAAACACAAAAGCAAAAGAAATGAGAACAGAAGGAGAAGAAAAAAAAGTAAATAGACAAGAACTCGGGAAGAGCTGAACCTAAGTGGATACAACAGAGTGCAGGTCCTGGTGTGATGTGAAAAAAGAGAAAGAAAATGTGGTAATATCCTTCCATTATCAGAAGACAGCTTATTCAAGGACCATGGTGACCTTGAACTGCAGTATAGGGCTCAAAGAGATCACCACCAGGTCCCAAAAGCTGTGCAGCCCACATGACGTCATTTATTACATTAAACCTGTCATCCTTGAAGAAGCTGAAGTCACGTGTAGAAGCAAAGCAAGACTGATACAGTTAGTAAGGAATGGAACAAGAGTAAAGAATAAAAGTCAAGACAATTATCTGACCCAAAGAACATATTGCTCACTCGCAGGATTCTCACTCTGCAAATCTATCACTATAGCTTGCACTTCATCTCACCTTGAAGTAGATGGTATTGACGAGCACAAGAACTGTGTTTTCATTCAGAACCCCCTCAGGAATAACATCTGTGATCCTGTTCTCAGTTTTGTTGGAAACCCAGTCATTGATGGTCTTCCGGGACAATTCAGGTTTCTCCTAGAATTTAACACAAAGACTGTATTGGATTTATTGCTTTTAAGACATGCAAACAAGTCACTTTTGTTGTTAAAATATTTATTTTTGAGAAATGCTACAACAATATTAAGAAATTTGGTTATTTGGATTTTTCAACCAATAGAAACAACACATTTTAATTTCGATGTATTTGCTGGCTCTACGCCCTTATGACACTCAAGATGACTTGGGCCTGAAAGAACAGCATTCTCTATTTCCTCAACCAGTTTTTTTAAACCATCTTTAGGTATAAAAAATATATAAATTGTACCATTTATATGTAGAGTGCAGAAGATTAAAACTCATTAATTGAAGTAGGTTTTTTTTTCAATCGAAGGGGATACAGGTAAGCTCAGTGCTGTGAGAGACATAACTTACTTTGAAATTGAGGGGCATGAGTTTGGCACCATAGACCACTTCACTGATGTTCTGGTAGGTCTGGTTAAAGGCCAAAGATTTTTCCCCAAAGAGTCGGTTGGCAGAGACCAGTTCGGCAGTCGTGTCGGCTTTACGGTACAGTCTGCAGTTAAGCTTGGCAAAGAAGAAGTGCACCTGGTCAGAGGTCTTCTCCTTGATGGAGTCAAACTGGAACACCTGCAAGAACGGAGCTGGAGTGAGTTTGAACCACAAAGCTGGAGAAAGTTACACACAGCATGGGTAATGGTATTCCCTTAATGATAGCAGGGAACAGAGATTCAAAAGGCACTGAACAAATGTAAATATAAAACTCCAAATGGTTATGCATGTGTAAAAACAGCTATTTTCATACTAGGTCTAGAACATTAGGGTTCTATGCAATCAATCAATTGGAACTCATTAACTATTTTTGAGAAAACAAGAAAGCATGTTAAAATCTCACAGGAGGCAATGCTCCATTTGGGTTCAAACAGAATCCTCTTTTGTGGTGAATTGTATTAATCCTGTACACAGCTGATGGACAAATTAACAGAAACCATTATTCTGAATAGAAAAAAAACATTACAGTATAAGTCCGCAGTGTAAGTCTGTCTTCTTAAAAACATAGCAAACATCAGCAAGACATGTTACAAACATGGGGGAAGAACAAAATGTGGGAAGCTGCAAAATGACCACAAGAACGTACCTTGCTAAATGTAAATGAACGGCAATATAATTCTACACATCATTCTAACTTTTGCCATCACCTCTCTTTTTTTTAGCTTGACAGGTACTTCTGCCATTAAAATGCAGGAACTGAACTCTGATGGAGATGCTGTGTATAAGATCCTGAGAGTCTGGAAGCCCCGATGCAGGAGCTTATGCCCCATTTCAGACACACACCTGCATGATCTCCGCAAGCGTCTTGTTGCAGGCGCCCAGCTTGGTCATTGCGAAGGCAGTGGAGATGCTGATTGGGGACATAAAGATATTGCTGGTAGCTGACTTGGAGTCAGCCATGTTTTTGTACAGGGCCAGGGCAAAGCGGCTGTTGGCCTTTGACAGCTCCCACACACGGGGATTGGTGAGTTCTGGGATCTTGTCTGGTTCTGCAGCTTCATCTCCTGCTGTGTCTTGGCTGCGGTAGATGCACATGGGCTCCAGTGGAAGGTCCTTGGGCTTTGCTGTGCAGATATCATCCACAGCCAGAACGCCACACAGGCACGTAGCCAAGACAGCCAAGAGCCTCATCCTGGGGGCAAAATGCACGTCAGGGCCCAGGTTGGGTCAGTCACTAAAGCAGATAGTCTATATGTTCATGCATGTCACGACCATCAAGACTAGGTACAGCAACATCTTGACACAGTCACAGTGAGTGTAGACAAAACCCCATTATCTAAAGGCTGTCACACCAGATACAACTTGTATTTATACCAGTTATAACATTTCTAAAGGGCAACACTGAATGTTTTCCATAGGAAACTCAGATTCCTTAACATAGAAAGAACTATTTCAACACTTTGCTACAACCTTTTATTGAAAGTGTTTTAACATACTGTCTCTCTGGTTCATTCAGCAACATCAGTGCTGTTAATAGTAATAGGTTGGGAAAAATGAAGAAGGTAATATCAAAATCATTGGGGTAAACCATCTAAATGCCCTCTACAAACTGACATAGATGTCTAAGAGCATTATGTAGAGTTGTGTGGCCCAACCTTTGCATGGTAAATTAACAGTACTCCCATCTGAGAAACACCTCTTGTTTCTGCAGGTATAATGGACTCAATACATCTTTCATCCACTCTGCAATCTCCCTCTCAAACAATGTAAAATAAGTTTCTGATCTCCTGAAACACTGTTGTTCTGAATTCTTTGCTTGTGATGCTTGTTTTTTCTGTTGTTGTTATTTTGGAGCATTCTTTGACATTACTTAGACATTGTAGAGCTCACATATCATTGTTTCCAATGAAACAACTTCTACAACTTTCTACAACTGGCCACCTCAGACTGGATCGAATGTCCACAACTTGAATTGAAAATCAGGAAGCAGATGTTACTCAAACAAAAGGGCTAAAAACTGAATGGATCAAGACTAGGAATTTCACCCTAGTGAAGAAACCCAGGAGTTTCTAGATAAAATTCCCCAGTGGCCTTAGCAATGATTAAGGCAAAAGAGACCTATGAAGGGCATTGCTATTGGACATTGTTTCTCAATAGAAAATATTTGTAAAAGACACCTATTGATTTCTGTCCATGTTATTTGCTGGTGTGCAAAAAAATGTTGGATTGCCCAATGTTGCCTGCGATTGCACAGTGCAGTGTATTCCAACGTCACTGAAATGTTCCACACCTTATTTCCAAGCTGGCAGAGGAAAAGCAGAATCAGATCAAAGGATCTACCTTACCTGTAGTGTTCATGTAATTTGAGGTTAATCAATGAAAGATCATATTTTGATGCAAAATATATGAAACAAAAAATATCAGAAATTGATATGCAGTTTAGAATTCCACAATCTACTTTATGTGTGAACATCTCAATTTCAATTAAAGTGATCTACAAGCCAACAACAGAAACAGAGCAATTTTAAACTGGCAATTTAAGGGGCCCCCAGCTGATAAATTGAAGCATGACCAACATATTTAGCCAGGATTAAAAATATGAACACTGATTCAAGAAAGTGTTAGGTTAAACTGAAATAAGAAAACAAACTTTCTTAAGATAATTAGAATGCTGCCATTAAAAAATATTTTAATTAAATATAAGAATGGCTTTGTATAAAAACTTTTAAAAATTCAAGATTTGAAGAGCACAGAGACCCCATAGCATAATTGTTTAGTCCTAGAAGCAAAACGTAGAGGAACGTAGGGTTTCTGTTGAAAAAGGACTTTTGGTTACCTTATACAACTTTACTGAAAAATTCCACATATTTGCAGCAACACTTAAGATTTTAGGTTGCCCAAAGAAAAGCAGCAGTGAGATCCTACCTTACCTGTAGTGTCCGTCTTCCTTCAGTTAACAAGCCAAGCTGGAGCAGCAGTGAGACAGAATGTGGACGGGAGACCATAAACTCGATAAAACGCACTATGATGAACACAGCGAGGAGTTCACTGGCCGCCAGTGCAGAGACAATCAATCAGATCATCGTTTACACAGGATAACTGGTTTGGTTAATCTTTGAACTTTTGGGATTAAACACGGAGAAAAAAGATTTTTTGCATTACTAATGTGGTTCTTTAACATTGTGAAATGAGCAGCCTTGCCTTCTCACACATAGAAAATACACTCACAAATCCCGAAACACCTTCGGGAGCAACCAACCCAAGAATATTTTTCATCTGCCATTAAATTTCCATACTTTAAAGACAATTTAGCTCCTATTTCAATATCAACAGTTTGCTCACATACTAATAAAATTAGGGTGCTGCTGCGATCTACTTTTCTGCAGGGAAGTAGCAGTAAGAAGCAAGACGTTTACTGCTGCACTGTCCTTGGCATTACTGTGCTTGGCTGCGGTAATTAGTCTGTACCAGGGTTCACAGTTGAAATGATTAAAGCAACAACTGCACAGGTGTGGCCAGAGAAGCTGAATGCTGGGAAAATGGGGGTTTACTTCACAAAGTTTCAGGGGCAGCAGACCTGTGAGCGATCAGGTGTCTAATCTGTATAATTTAATCTCTAATAAATAAATCGATTCTTCTCAAGCTGTGTTTCTGGTGCATATTTATGTTCTCAGAATGACCCCATAAATTAAAGCTTGGCTGCTAAAGGAAAATCAGAGAAGTCTGGTTCTGGCATTCCTCTATTATCTCAGTGTTTTGCTAGGAATAAACAGTTTTAGATATATTAAAAACAGTACTGATCTAATGAATTTGCTTTTCAGCATGGAATAAACCTCTACTTGTTCACATGCAGCTTATGCATGCTGCACAGCTACCTAACAAACCTCTGTAAAGCATGGCACTTTATTAGCAAGACTGTGGAAGCCAACTATCCAACCCACTGAGCACAGAACATGAGGTTTCCGTTGTTCTATTTAAAAATCTAAATCCTGAGACAATCATTGGATATGTCCAAAAAGTTGAGCCAGAAGACATTCTTGGGAAGAGTTGGGTTATCCATTTTAGAAACCCTTAGCTCATGTTCAATGAAAAAATGGCATTCAGAAAGAGACTGACTGGTCGGAAACCGTGAAAACCCTTTAATTGAGCAATGTAAGAGGAGCTCAGTATCACTTGGATGTCAGTCACCAATGCTCTAGATCTAATACATTTAGAAGCTTTTGTAAAGTGATGCTTGGAATGGGGAGACTGAAGAGTACAGATCCCTCCTAAAAATGTATACAACATCAGAACATTAATCCCACATTTAGCTTCAGAAGGTCTGCAATCTAGACCCAAATATTAAGGGCTGAAACTGGCACTCCCTGGGTCTGCAGTCTTAGCGAACATTTCATGTAGCATCACATTACAACAAATGGCAATGTTGTGCATCACACATGATAACATCCCAAATAATATGAGGAAGCTAAGGTGAATTCCTCTATTTGGCAGCGTGACCCATGGCTAGCGCAGTCAGCACAAGCCTGAGTAATCTGTGCCATTTCCTTACAAAAGCAGGGTGCTATCTGTGTGGAGTTATGTTCTCCCCACGTTTGCATTGGTTTCCTCCCATGGAAAGTTCAAAGACATCCAAGTAGGTCAAACAGCTTTTGCGAAAACTGGTCCTGGTGTAAGTGTGTGTATATGCATGCCTTGCGATGGCTAGCATCCAATCCAGGAAGTATTCTTTCTTGTATCCATTGCTTGCTGGGATAGGGCTCTGGCTCCCCCACAACCCTATATTGGATCAAATGGTTAGAAAATGGATGGTATTGGCTTCAACAACATGGCATCTTGTTCTAAACACCCACCACCATTTTTTAAGACAATGGACTCGACTTTTGTTTTTCTATGCGCCCCCTGGTTCGCATTTCATTGTTGTAGTGCATCCCTTTTCTATCAAACTGAATGCAGAAGTATTAAACCCATCGATGCAGAGAATTCCTGTAAGGTTAGTAATGTTCATAACCCAAGTGTTATTACTCTATTCCCGGAAAGAACCACTTCAGCAGATATCATAGGCCACCATTAAATACTTAAGACTTGGAACATCTTCATTGTAAGTTCTCTTACTTGAACACATGACTTGCTGAATTTATCAACAGCTTTAAGGTGATCCCAATCTTTAGTTTAGGTAGCTTATAAGACTTAACAGATTTGAGGTTCTCTTTAATGATAGGAGTCCCTTTACCTAATAACTCTTAACTTCCCCTACTCATTTTAGCACAACTGAAAAAAAAAAAACAGATCTGCAATTTTAAGATCTGCTACTGCCTTTAACAATTCTGAAGCTTTGTCATTCATGAAGCAGTTTCTGACCATGCAAATCCCTCCATGAAAATCTGCCTGAAACAGCACAGTGCACAATGGGACTATCAACACTTTCTCTCAGGATCACTATAATACCATGTGGAATTTAATACTGAACTCCATGGCACCAGACAGATGTCTGCCTGACAAGCAGCTCACCAGTCTGCCAGTGTACGTGTTGTTCCAAATATGAACCCGTACCAGTTAAATCCCCGATTGCTCAAATGGATAGTCTTAAAAGAGAAAGGAAAAAATGTTGTGTGGTAGCATGCAGAGGTTTATCATTGGAAATGAATGCAAATGAGACAGAAGATTTACAATATTATTTAATCACAGTCCCTGCCAGTAAAGAATCACTGTTGCACATAAGTTACATTAATTTCACAGGTTTTTTTTGTTTTTTCTTCTTCAAACTTCCAGTTACTCCCTCCTGACTCAAGGAAAAAAGAAGCGGATTGTATTATACAAAAATGCAAACCAATTTTCACACAGTGAATTCTTTTTATATGAAGAAAAAAGTATAACAGCTACATCCATATTGGAGAAAGATAATTCTAAACATTCCTTAATGGAGTATAATATAAAAACAAACAATTTTTGAAGTTAAACTTGTACCTTAATTTAAGCAATCTATTACAAGACAATTTGGGAGTAATCATCGAAAGCAATTACGTTCCCAATGTTAGGAATAAAATCAAAACAATGCAGCAAGAGCAGCCCAGTCTTGTTACAATAAATGCAGTTTGTATGGAGGCAGGGGAACATTCCTGGTGCCCCTCAAGAGTGCTGCCAGTGCTCCATTTGGGAGGCAAATTTCACTCAAGACCCTGTCACTATGTTTCAAACTACAAGCTGAGTAACTGTTGTGTTGCTAAGAGCTGTCATCTCCCCAAACTGAACAGAACACACTGTACTACTGATACAGTGACCAACACAGATCTTACAAAGATCAAAAAAAAAAATAACCCATCACTTTTCAAGGACCAAGAGACCGGCAATGCTTTCATAGCAAAATAAGTGGTCAAATACAGCTAGAATCAATGCTTCCTCTTTTATTTTTCCCTTCTAGAATACACTGGTAAAGTTTTATCTACCTCACATCAAAAACAGTAACAGCAGTGTGACAGGTCTCAGATCTCTGTTAGAACCAACAACAGTAAATATTTAGTCTAAAATGGAAACGTATTTGAAATTGCAAAACCATTGGAGTTACAAAATGTGTTTTCCTTCCTGCTTTCCAGTGTCTCCCAATTTGAGCAAAAACAGACACTCTATACGAAGCTCTCAGTCAGGGACTTGGGGGTAAAGACAAACTAGTTGTACTGTCATCAGTTAAGGAATCCAGTTGCAAACTGACGGCAAAAGGTAAACAGTAAATGCTCCACTATATACCTACCCTGATTTCCCTTCGTTTTCTAGAGTGTGAAGGGGTAGATGAGGATATGCTGAATGAAAAGAAAAATGGCCATTATAGCTACAAAGTAAAATGAACAATTCTATAATTTTTTAAGAATCTGGGTTAAAGAATAATACCTAGTCACAAGAAGAGGAGAAATATGGCTGCACTATTATTCTGTTGTCCTATGGTGACTTGTAACCTTTCAGGCCATACAGTGAGAAGGCAACGTGACAGCCTGTCAAATACAGCACACTGTACTTTCTGAGCTTGAAATAAGGTTTGGTTTATTCTTTGTCTAGATTTGCCTAAATGTTTTGAAAGGTGAGCTGGATTTTCATTCTATTTCTGCCAATTGTCAATACTGTTTACCCAATGCATGCATTTTTATCATTTCAGCATGAAGTTTAAACAATTAAAACTAAACAATGTAAAAGACAATGTGTATGTTTTTACCCACAAACCCACCCCTGAGTGAACTGCAAGCTTGGTGAAAACACACAAACATGTCCTCGGCCATAGCATGGTTTATCAGAAACAGTGTAGCCACGGCGAGTCCCCATCAATACCTGAAAACACAGAACATTCAATACAGTACAACCTTACATTAAGCTAATTTTTTTGGACATTGTTTTTCTTTGAACAGACACAAAATGGCTAAGTAAACAAATGTTACAAGTCTGGCACTGAACTCCTTTGACTAAGAAAGGATAAGAGTTGTTCAGTTGTGCATTGGCAACCAGATACAGATCATTGCATTACTGATTTGTAGAGATCATTTAATATAAATGCTGACTCCAAGCGAGTGTATTAACAGTTGCACATTATATCTTTATTTACAGGTGTTATGTACCCAAACCTTAAATATATTCAAGAACCCGCCAAAAGGCACATTTATCAGGGGTGATCGTCTGGTGTGTGACACCAGGATCTGTCATAGTCCAGCCTGACTGGGTTGGCTTTGCTGATTATTACTGCCTGAAATGCCTGAAGTGAAACACGCATGGACACAGCATCCAATTACCATGCAAAGCTGCTATTGCTATTAAAGAACACCACTGCTATAGAAGAATAATGCAAAGTCTTTTAAAAGGATTCTTCACACAACAGCCAAAACCATTCTTGAACATTCACACACTTGAACCCAGGAGTTCCTGTGGCTCCAGCCCTCAAGAGCTACAATCCAGAAGGGATTAAGGCTGAACCAGACAAAGTTTACTCTTTTAGATTTTACACACTTAAAACAATCGCCCAGTGGTGACACTTGAGGAACAAGACAAGAGACCCCCGGTGTCTGCAGATTACACAACTCCACTTGGGGTGAATTTTCGTACAAGTGACATGCTGTATTAAGGTCACTTTATATGTAGAGACCTTGGCAAGTCTGGTGCATTCCACACGATCACCCCTGCGGTGCAGCGTGCGGCTCAAAACACGAGCCTCTTCAAACCCAAGGAAGGAGAGGCATTCTTCTCAACTGTGTCTTAGCAAGGTTCTTTCATAGCCAATCTTGACGATTGCTTAAGTGTCAATAGCTCTGTCTCAAGCAATAATAATCATAACAATATTAATAATTATCAGAATATTACATAGAGATTAGACGTTAAAAGAAGTTTCACCAAAAACGGTGCTTTAAGATCGCACACTGTCTCGAGAGACCAGTATATGTCGGTCTACAAAAAGTACAAACGCGTCAGAAAGAAGCAGAACTGGAAAATGTACCGATAACGTACATTTGGTTTTAATGTCTACTCAGTCTATCAAAGCTCTTTAAGTCACAGGTCATCTCAGTATATAGTGACGTTTGGGGAAAAGTATTTGGAACTAGGCAAACTCTTTTAATGCTACATCACAAGGACTCCACTGTGACTTCAAAAGCTCTGGTGTCTCTTTCCTAATGTGCAGGCACATCTCTCAAGAGTTCTGTGATGATAATCAGCCTGTGTGTCACAAACAGCTGGATGAGCACAATGGTCAACTTCACCAAGACCAAGTGCAAGGGAGGAAACCTATTTTGTTTTGTTTGATGTTGACTAAAATCCAATGGCATCTCAATCCTCAAAAGACAAAATCCTCAAAATATAGTACTGTATCTTCAAAAGGTGGCACTGTCCACAGTTTTACAACTTTATTCTCTTGCTCAACTAAAACAAAATCTGCCAGGTGTTGCAGTGCATACCTGCTTACCTGGTTAGCTGTTATAACTAGCAGGGAATTTCAGACCTTTTGGACACATTAGGGTGTCAAAACCAATTGCAAAGCAGCTGCACAGCACCAGGCAAAGGAAACATAGAACTGAAACAGAGCAAGGAGAAATAGTAAAGCCCTTATCTTTTTCTACATGACAAATGAATCTGATGTCTTCTTGAATTTGGGGTTGCAGAAACAGAACACACACTTTATGCCGTATACAGAACAAATGATGCTTGCACATTTCTGACAGTACAGTCTTTCAGTTCTGCAATGGATCTGAATGTCAGTTCTTAATGGTGCAACAGACCACGAATTTGTGTCATTCCCTGAACCATCACTTCTTAGGCAGAAGAAAAAACAGCACTGGAAGTAATAGAGGAGGTACACTTAACCTGCTAGATGGGACATTTTTGTCCAAATACCCTTTATCAAATAAGAAAAGCCAGTATCACAAGGAATGCAGGAGCTGTATAATTGTTCAATGCACAGTGCATCACAATCTAGGTTTTGTAAATGAAAATCTCCAAATTTAATTTTCAGGCTTTCCAGTTAGCCTACTGAATAAAATATTCCTTTTCTTACTGTCCCATTGTTAACTGTTCGTAACTCCCATTTCACAAAATGAGACCTCTGTGACAATTATACAGGTATTCATAGATATTGTATGAATTTGCACCGTTCAGTAGAGCAGATATTCCCAAGGGCCAAACTTTCAAGGATTTTAAATGGTATGTGCAGAACCTCAAGAAATTACATTTACTTTTCTTTGATTTAGCAGTCTGAAATACACACATAAAAACTGCATCTCAAAATTGACGCTTAAGAACTAAAAGGCCAAGATTATGCATTTAAATAATGTTGATCTTGATAAAAATTATTTTAGTTCTTGAAGAGGAATAAAAAGGGGATTAAGCCATACTTTCACAAAATCTAAAACTTTTGGGCCTCATTTACCGTAGAAGTGATATTCCTGCTTTTTTTTCTGGAAAAGACACAAAGTCCATATCTTTAGCCACCACCTGTTTTATACTCTGTATAAAACAGAAGTATTGTATTTAGTACTGGAAACCCTCATGCTCACAGCTGCCAGCTAATAGATTGCTCATCCTCTAAAACTCCCAAAACAAATGATAACCAAATCTGTAAAAACATGGCAAAAATCATCATGCAACTTCACAGAAGTTATCAAAAAAAAATTCATTCCGATTAAGAGCTCAGTGCAAAAGGCAGCTATCAGTGTACTGTGATCACAGGCTCAAAAATGTTCTGAGGAATAAAACATTTCCACTATACTATAGTGCTTCCAAAAAATATAATTTGGTTTTAAATTGCAAGACTCCAGCATTTCCTATAAGAAGTCATTGCTTCTAAGAATTTAGCGAGTTTAGCTAATTCAAACTACGCATAATACATAACCAATAGAATCCAATGTATTGATACTCAAGCACAGGTGCTAGATGATTTGTGTGGAGGTAGGGTGTATGCCAGTGCTGTAACTATGCTGCATCGTGTGAGACAGAGCACACAGTGTGCTTTGTGCCCCTTATGGGTGACGAAACCTTGTATATCTGAGAACAGAACCAGAGGTTGTTCACCTGCATGCATGCCACTGAACTGGACTGGAGGATTTGTTACAGTATTTTTCTAGATTTTTTGTAGATGTTGAGCTCCCCCCCATTTGCTGTAAAATAGAGAAATCATTTAATGGCACCAATCCCCTGCTTCACCAGAAGGTGATTAGAAAACTAATTGAAGTTCCACCTATAAAACAATTGTTCCAGATTTTTATTTTCTGTTTAAATAGAAATAAAAATGAAGTTAAGATAAATGGCTGGCAGAACATTCCACAACTCAAATTCCCAGATAAGATATTTTACTGAACTTCTTTGGCATCAGTGTCAGCCTGTCTATGGTTTGCAAGTACTGGAGTAGGATACTGTTTAACTGGAAGTCCTTTGTCCCGTTTCTCAGTACTACATGAGCAGATCATTCTATTAATTAGAAGTCGATGTTCAATGGGGAAACAATCCCACCTGGTACTCAGTGGGTTTTCAGAGCCTGCACTATAGTTTTACACATTCTCCATGTGGTTTTGAAGATACATTTTAAACATATGATCACAGTATTACTAATAGCATAGTTTTTTTAAATGGTTTTAAGGCCAATATTTTTAATGAAAAAACAAACAAACAAAAAAGCTCGAATTCCAAGCCAATACATACTGCAAATGTGCAGATCAGCCAGGCCTGTTATACCTAATTCAATGTGAAACAGTATTTTGCCCTGCCTGGTCAGTATATACTTTAGAGGAGACTTTACTCAACGTAGAGCCCTACCAGCTGGCAGACTGCTTCACTACTGAGGGACATCTGCACTGTGCGCAAGTCACTTAACTAGGATGGGTTCAGTTCTCTGCAAACTTACAGGTACCACAGACTACTTCAGCCAGTTTATACAACACAAGTCATTATAGCCACATTAAGAGCTATTATAAACATTCTGCCAGGTGTTAAAGAACTTGCAACAATCCAACATCAGACTAATATCCGCTTGCCACCAGTGTCCGTGCGGTCAGAGAGAGATTTCTGTACTGCTTAACAACTGGATGCCTGAGATTCTAGACTCTCACATCCTTGTGTATCAGTTACTGCAAAAACGCAGTACACACAGGAGCCAATTAGGAGACAGTAATAGTCACTCAAAGTAGCTGGGCTCTGTCTAGTTCATGTTTTGTGCACAGTGCAGTAGATAACAAAGGCTCGTTAAATTCAACCAGACTAGATTAAAAAAAAGCCACATATAGCAGTTACTTATTATATGCCTTCTTGTTTTCTGGCAAGAGCTTCCTTCCATTATCAGGTGTGTCTGTGTAGTAACAGGCCACTAAACCAGTAGGATACTTCCAGTTGGCTGGCTGCCCTTTGATCTCACATTTGATGTGGCTGCTCAGACTCTTATGACAAGTTGCTAATGAACATGACGATGTTCTTTCTGTAGTTCAATTCAATTTTTGCACATTTTCAGATCATTCCGAGAGCCCCACATCACATTCACAGCTTTTTCACATGATCAAAATAACAAACTGAGATGTCAATATTGATCAAAATTGGAAAAAGTACTGAGAATTGAAAGGTAATTTGCTCATTAAGGGGCCTAATGATATTCCCCATCAACTTCATGATACCTAATGTGAGATTCCTAGGGTTAACATGAAAAACACTGAAAAGATTAAGTGGAAGGTTTCAGTGAATTGTCAGTATATTGAAATGGAATCACAATACAACTCTGCAACTCCAAGAAATAATGCCACCCACTAGTTTAATTACTCTAAACAGTATTAAGGTTTGAGTCTGATAGCACTTTGGACTATAGGTTTCATATACCCAAAGTCAATGCATAATGCTTCATAAAAAATTACTTTTCTGAGACACTCGAGAAACTGCTGTTGTTTTGCTTAGTGCACACAAAAAGTACAGAAAATAATCCTAAGCGTTTTCCTAAGTATTTAAATTTAACAGCAAACAGTCAATACAGGCAACCAGTTCCCATTTTGTTTTCCCACCAGGAAGCAGACCTGTTAGGTTTTTAGAAAACTGAAGTGGCTTGAAGTACAGCAACACACTGTTTCTAGTGCAACACCTCTCAGCTCAGGCATATAATAAAGTAACCTTGGAAATTGTTTAATCATGGTTTTCCTAGATTTCATTGCATCAATCAACTAAACAGTGTGGTATCAATTGCCCTGGCACCCAAAGCATTTAATGTTATATTTAAAAAAAAATTTAAAGTTCATTCACAGAACAAAAAAAGAAAAATATTAAATTCACTGCAGATACTGCTCATCTCTAAATAAAACATGGAACAGGATGGTGAGTGATTTGTGTACTGTACTGTCAACACATTCCACCCATATAAAAAAACTGGAGCAACTGAATCCTCATGCAAAGACCTCTTGGCTTAGTAACTCAGAAGCCATTACAAAGACTTTGAAAGCAGGGCTTCTTTAATGCAAGCACACTGCTGGGAGGCTCCCAGTTCAGTTAATCAAGGTGGATTGTATTGGGCTTTGTGTACATGACCAGAAAGCCTGCTGCTCCAGTGGCCCTGCTCCAAGAGGGCTGGCTGGGGATTTTCTCTCCAGCTGCAGGAATATGTGCTACCCCACTCTGGTGCTTCTGGGGTGGTCTAGGAACAGGAGTGAACCACCCCATTCTTCTGTAGATCAGTGGTGCTCCCCGAGTCGGCAGACAGGCTGAGGGAGGAGGTCTTGCTGGCCAAAGAGGAGATGCTGTTCTCCTGGACCAGGCTGGATCCATTTGGCCCTTCACTGTAGACAGCAGTAAAATGCTTGGTCAGCAACAGCTCCAGGATGGGGGGGTTTGTGTTACTGTCCCCTCCCTCTTCAGCTAATCCTCTAATCAATCACCTCTGTCACAAAAAGATCACACCACTTTACACATTACAATAGGACACAAATATTGCACTGCAGGAAGGCCACGCTAAATACAAATAATAGTGCTTTAAAATAAGAGGTACATGTAGGAAAATTACAAATCCCAAAACATTGGGTAGAAGGTAACTACTGACCCTCACAGGGTCCAAACCTAGCATAGTGAACTGGTTAACAAACTCATAAATAAGGGACAGCAATGTAAAACACTGACTGGACTGATTTAAGACACTATGCAATTTCCAGTGTGCATGAGTTAATGCCAGAGAGTATCATATGTACACAATTAGCAATCACTCACTGCACAGGCTCTGAAGTCCCCAACCCTGTGAGGGAATGTGGGTGACTGATTATGACCTTGCAGACAGATAAACAACTATCAGATCTTTTTGTTTTGCACACACCTGAGGGCAAGAGAGAGGTCCTCCAGAGGTACCTTGTGATCAGGCTGTCCATTTTCAGACGTCTTCATTTTAAACTGCACATCATGAGGTCCTTGACTCTCCTGCCAGGAACAAAGGAACAAATTCTTGGCCTGAACATCAGAGCCTACATGAAACACTATTAGGTTTTCACCAGAGCCTGCAGCAACACTGATTGCTGAACACTTTCAATAACAGTAACTTCTCTTTTGGTTTGAGAATATCAAATGGACACACAGTTATCAAAGTAAGTTTGCAAGATTGTTAGGAGTTTAAATAGTTTGAAGCAAGAACTGACTGCATAAGCAAAAAGACAAAAACAGCGGGAATCTAGGGACAGGTATATTAGTGAAAATAACATTACTGTGACACCACAGCAAGTGGGCTGAATTTTAACCTCTCTGTTCTGATCTTCATCTATCACTGCATAAGTTCATCTACCAAAGCAGCACCACACAGCAGCCACAAGGATGCCGGTGAGTGACCAAGCACTGCAAGGGTAGAAAAAGCGTACCCCCTCACTAGAACCTAGCAGCAGAGGTAGCCATTGCAATAGCAGCAGTTCCACCAGAATTCATGATATGAAGTTAATTGGGGGTGTAACAGAAGATTTGTACAGCCAGAAGCAATCAAATGGATTGAATGAATATGCAATTGGACACTTACAAATTTGATTTTGAGTAAACAATAGAATATCAATTTTCTACTTTTTTTTACCCAATTACTGTTTCATTACAATAATAACATATTAAGGTGACTGGTTTCATGACGTGCAGCCTTTGAGATGTATCGCTTATAAGATGCAGGAAAACTGCAGGAAACATCTACCAGCTGTTACTTAGTCAGCAATTAACCATATAGGACTCCCAAAGGCTGCTGTTCCTTACAAACCAAGGCTATATACAGGTAGTGCCAAAAACCTGAAAGTCAGAATACTGACAAAATCCTTTGAAAACAATAGTACCGATACAGAGGAAGCCAGGGTACAACTAGACATTCATTCACTTACAAATATGAAAGCCCAAACACTTTAGCCATCTCTTAACAACCATCTAATGGAGCATAACCTAACCGTTATATTTCAAACCTAAACAGATCATAAAAGATGGCCTGATTGGAAACTTCACTCACCTAAAGCATTCAAAATCAATATAGGGAAAACCATGACCAACATTATAGGAAATACACCAGGCCAGAGAACTTAAATCTTTCAATCTTACTCCTAAACAGCATTCCACATAGGAAGATTCTATGTGAAATTAATCAAGCCTATTAACAGGACTGATCTCAAAATTTCTGAAGACTATCAAACTAATAATACAGTTGTCTTTACATCCACAAGGTTTAGCTTGAATATTGACCTTGTAAAGAAAAGAGACAACAAACCCTGTTTCACTGGTATTGGTAAATATCCAAAATTCAGTATAGGGGACAGATTAAACTCCCCCCCCCCCAAGTTTAAAATTGTCAAATGTGTTTGTCTCAGCTCACAACTATGGTCCCCAACGCCTCATGCAGGGGAGAATGTGGAAGTGTAAGCACACTCCTCACTTGCCTCTAAGCCACTTGTATTTTAATCATGGTCAGTTAGTGAAATGTGCCCTGGCCTGGGACCTGTGATCATATTGCTCAACCTGGTTAGGCGAGCAGCTGTATCAGTTGAGTCACTCAAGAGGCTCATTAGCTTCAACTGTTTCTGACTACTTCCAGTTCATACAGCTCTCCTTGAAACTGACCATCACCATAATATCTTGCTTTTTCATAACATCTTTCTGAATAAAAAGGCCTGAGATGTGCTTTAATGATGGATGACATACTGGGCATCGTGCAACGTTTTTGGGATCTGCACGTCAAGATTATGGCTGAGACACTGTTTACCTCTCCTCCTACTGCAACCTCACAACTCACCATGGCTATCTCCCGTGTTCTCTTGCCAATCTCCCGCTCCACCTGGTGCAGCTCTAGGCTCAGCTGCTCACTGGACAGGGGTCCGGCTGCCCACTTTGCCGGGATGGGCTGAGTGGCCAAGGTGCTCGGCTCTCTTTGCAGCAGCATGGTGTTACTAGCAGCCTAAAGCAGGGGAGCCAACCACACATGATACCTCATGGCATCTCACTCAGGGACACAGTGCCAGATTAGATGGGACCACAGCAGCAGCACTACAGTTCCAACACACACACACCTCAGCAGGACAGGGCAGGCCAAAAATCAACACGGCCACTGGCTTCCACAAGATGTTTGCAGCTTGACAGAAACCGTGAACTAGAAGATGAAGCATAGCTTCTTGTTCACAATGCAATAATGTAATTGCTTTTCTATAACACTGTAAACTAGGAACCTGTCACAGGTGACCAAGAATGATGGGACTGGAGCAGAATTCCCTTTGCAATAATGGACACCCGCTACCAGCACACATTGAAAAAGTACCTGGCCTTTTAGTGGATCTTAAAATTGGAAAGTCTGCTATGCTGCATGAATGATTAGTCTTTAGTTTTACTCCTAAATGAGCTGGGAATCTTCAGACTCTATTATGTTTTGGTGTGAAATACTAAACATTTATTTCCAAATCTCTAGCCAGCACTGGTGTTGAAGAAACTCAGGAAACTTATACAACTGTAGCTTTCCTGAACTAGGACTGGATAACACTATGGTGATGCTGGAATATCCCAAAGAGTTCCTGGGAAGAAGATGTAGAGATTTTATGGAGAAAACACGCTAATTGGTTTGCTGTGAGACTTTGGGTCCATCAGTTCCTTGAGGATAAAAGATGGTCACACATCATAAAAGAAACTCAGTCGGAAACAACTAACACTTTAAAACTGATGCCTTGCCCTTTTATATAATTTCTTGTGTAAACTGAAGTAAAGAAGGCTGTGGTTCCCTGTCAATGAAACGGAGACTGTGGCAGTGTTAATCATCGGGCCATTTAACACAGCAACATTCTTCAGCTTTAGGATCAGGTTGCATAGCAAATATATACAGCATGAGGCATGATCTAAACTTAAAAAGATTTGCAATCGATAAAAGTGAAAACGAAGATGAAGTCATTTGCTCATCTTTACACAAAGAATTTAGGGAGTTTGTAAGCCACTGTTCAGCCATGCTGCTGTGACTGTCAAGGACTTTTCAACAGTTAGAAATTGATCAGATATCAGCAATAGAAAATGACCTTTTTCATGGAGCTTTTGCAGTATTTTTATATTACTGATTTTCAACCTTTTCAACTGCTGAATATATATTGTTGATCTGTGCTGTCTATAACTGTTAAACAATCATTTTTTCATGTGTTCACTTCTAATAGTACTATACTCACTGTGGTTCCAAAAACTCTCAAAAACTGCTAGTAAGAATTTTAAATTTGGGGAAATGAGAATGTGCCAGAAACGTTTGTAGACTGCAATTCTTAGAATTTCAGAAAAGGACCCCTCGAGAAGGTGCAATACAGAGATGACTGATGTGTGTCGGTTAGAAGTAATGGGCCCAATTGTGACATGGTAATATCAAAGGAGGGCAAAATATCTACTTCAACTTTTCACCTACAGTCTTGAAAGTCATTTTAAGAAAGCAAAAGTAGCTGGGCTTTCAGCGACTTCTGCACGAGTATATACCTCCAGTCCACGGATCTGCGTCTGCTGGCTGATCTGCTGGTTGACTTGCTGGAGCTCCATCTTCAGCTGCTCCCTGTCAGGTGGAGGCATTGGTGGCCTGATAATCACACACAAGAATAATGACTTCTTCAAGTACAGATAGCAACTCAGAGTCTAAGGGTTTCTTGTCTCAGACAGGACTGGTGCTAAGGAAATATTGCTAACCTACCTTTCACTGAAGTGTCCCTGAGACGTCACGGTTTGGTGTTGTTGGTAAGAGGCTCCTCCCCACCCTCTGTGGTTCTCATACGTGTAGTCAGCTGTAGGAGAGATGCAGTGACACCTCAGTGACAAACATGGCAGTGTGAGTGCATACTGGTGCTCAGGCCATTTCCTCTGTATTCCTGCTGATTCCACTGAAGTCCATCTGTCCCTCAAATATACAGTTAACATCTTCCACTACTCTTCTTCTTTTAGACATCAACTTCTCCATTAACTACCCCCAACTCTCTACTTCAGTCTATTACAAACCCACTGATTCACACAACTATCTCCTGTATAGTTAATTTCACCCCAAACACTAAAAACTCTCTCCCCTTTTCACAGTTCCTTCAGCTACGGTGACTCTGCAGCGACGACATCGATTTCCTGAACCAAGGCCTCAAAATGTACTTTTTCCATCAACAGAGGATACCCTAGCAGTATTACTGACAGGGCCCTTGCCTGAGCCAAAAACAGCCCTCGGACAATCAACTTGAGCAGGAACTCCCGCCATAAGAACCGCATTCCTTTGGTGCTTCCATACCACCCCATCACACTTTCTATACTCAGGACTATTAACTACACCTTTTCCATCCTACAGGATGATCCCTTCATTGGGGCCCTCTTTTCTGACCACCTAATCTGCATAACCTTCTTGTTCACAGCTCGCCCATCATCCACACCAGGCACTTTCCCCTATAACAGAACTCGCTGCATCACCTGTAAATATATATATCTAACATCACGCTCATTCAAGGCGCCTCAGGACAATTTCGGATCACTCAGATGGCATCTTGTACCTCTAGCAACCTTATTTACTGGAACTCGTGCAAAAAAAGCCAAGCTCTACATTGGTGAAACAGGAAGGAGACTCGGAGACCACTTCAGAGAACATGTTCGGAATGTGAAGATTAAAGATTTCTAAAAGCCTGTTGTCACTCATTTTACCTCTGACGGTCATGATCACGCTAATCTCTCCGTCTGTGTTCTCAAAGATGGTTTGCCTAACTCCTACATCAGAAAGACTACAGAAATTAAAATTACCCTGCAGCTAGGATCACACCTTTCCCCTTCTCTCAACAACAAGACTAATTTTCTTCTAAATTCTCTCTATTCATGGTAGGTTTCATTTCACATCTCACCTCACCTTTCCTGACTTCACACTACCCGATTGGCCACTCTGTCTGTCCCCTGCTCCTGCCTTTCGCTCCTCTTCTCTCCCAGCTTTTGTTCTCCTGCTACATTACCTTTGCTTACTGCCCTGTCTTTCTCACACCTGAAGAAGACTCCATGGCCAAAACGTGTTTTTTTTCTTGTCTTTTCAGCATGGAATAAACCTATTACTCGTTCCTTTGCAGACTGAGATTAGGCATTATATACAATGGCTGAGTTATAAAAGCTATCCTTGACATGATGTGACAGAGCTGTTCAAGCAAGACTATTTGGAATTACATGGCCTGGCTTGCCTTCTTAAACTGAAACTTAGTCATTTACTCAAGAGGGGCAAAAGGATCCCGCTTGCCTCTGTGAGCAGAAATTACATGCGTAGTGAAACAGTCAGCAGGGGAAGGTGGTCTCAGGCCTACCTGCCACAGGGACGTGTTTGGTAGCTGCGCTACCATGGGCCTGGGTAGAGGTCATGGCTTGTACTGGCCCGGTGGTCTGGTAGCCTGTTTTGGAGGTGCGTGAGATAGCCCCAAAGCGAGAGACGGTTGGCAGGGGGCCAAACGGAATGATGGGGTCATCGTCTTTGGCCTCAGCTGACCTTCGCTGCATGTCCAACTGCTGCTCTCTCAAACCCTTGCTGTCCACATTCTGCAGGAAGACAGGATAGATAGGAGGTTGTGAAGTCAGTTCCATTATTCTCCTTTTTTTCCCCAAGCACAAATACCAATAGCTGAATAAAATAAACTTTCTTTTCTAGAATGATCCTTAAACTAAAGGTGGACTTTCATTCATAAAATAAAAAAAAAAACATTTAAATACAAAAAGAAAGTGCAGCTCAATGGAAAAGTAGATACAGATACTGCACAGAATTAAGTATCAATGAGCAACTACATGTTAGAAATGTAGTATGTTGGAATTTTGAATTGTGTACTAGTTGGAGCATGATGTCCATTACATACAATGAAAACATCTGACCTTCATATGACAATTGGTTCAAAAGACAGCAGAGGACCTGCATCTGGGTTCACCAAATCTCCTTCCATCTCTAGGTATTTTCATGGCTGGTAAGGTGGATTCAGAATTCTTCCCCTGGCAGAAACTAAACCCCTAGGTTCCTAGCACTCTGCTGGTTCACACCATCACCATAGGCCTACCATGCTGTTCCTCTGGCTTTCCCTACAATGATAGCACTTCTTGGCCTGCAACAGGCATCTGAGACTTCTTCAGTTCTAATACAGCTGGAAGCCTGGGGCTAGGTTCAGTTAAAATTCTTCTCATTAAAAAGATTCTGACATCATCAACAATGTAATTGATATTAATATAAAAATTAACTTACTATTGGCCTTCTTCAGAGTATTTAAATTAGCTCAGATTGTTAGGCACAGATGTGTGCATCAGAATTAAGTTTAGGAATGAATATTCTTGACTCAGTGACAGAAACCAAAAACATAATTTGCAGTAATATTAAGATTTCTCAGTATTTCTCCTGAAGTTACTAATGGAGACATGCATCAGTAATCACTTTGTGAGATGATGAGCCCAAAAGATTAAAATGGAGAATGTGGGCTAAATATACCTCTTTTTCTGTCCCAACTTACCTCCCATTACATTCAAAGGCAAAATTAAGAAAGGATAGGGCACTCTAAAGTCTGTAAAAGGCCCAGATAGTCAAAAAGAGAAAAAGAATACACCAAGGAACAGGCAGAACTAAAAACAAATCACAGCTACAGGGAGAGAGAAAAACTGCAGCAGAAAAAAAATCAACAGTGGAATGGCAGTAGTATTGTAAAGATTTGAGTTAACAGGTTTTGCAGAAGAAAAAAGTAAAATGTACTTAAAGGTTATCAGAAATGCAATGCAACAAAACATCTGGTAATGTGGCCTCATTACATTGTAAAGAAGCAGGTTTGTTAATACATTTCTTTACATCTAGTAGAAATACTGCTTTCAACTTCGAGAATGTTTTGCCAACAAATACTACTTAACTGGATTGCAGATCATGTTGGAACATTTCTGGAGTGAAATGTCTGCTGTAAAACCTGTACTTATTTGCTCTTGCATTGCATTACATTGGTCATTACAGTGACTAGTGAACGGGAAGGGCCACACCGCGTTGCAATTCATGGGAGCTTGAACGCGACATTACAACATATAGTACTTTCACAAAGTTCATGATATTCTGCTGAATTCGAAATTTGTAATTTTTTTCTATAACAAATTAATTTTATAGAGATTTAATAACCGGTCTAAGAAACTGGGACTGCAATTCCCCCATTAAGGAATATTTCAGGTTTTTACAAAAGATATTGACATCCATGCCCCACTTTTAAAAAGGAGCTCTACAAGTATTAAGTAATTTTAGCATACCTGATACTTGGAATTACAGTGACTAAGGATGAGTTAGAACTCAGATCGTCAAAGGCTGACAGGATTTTTTCCTAGTTCTACCTAAGGAGACTGAAAGATGTTATTCACAGAACTTAAAACAAGGGTACTTCAATGGCCATGAGGAATGGAATATCACAAGGAATGCAACACCAGTTCACAGAAGTAAAGTCTGCACACAGGTCAAAAACTCATTATGAACAAGAACTAATTAGGCCTCCTAAGGGGCATAATCGGGTATGCAGCTCCTCCAGACAAACTGTATATTCCCCAACACTAAGCAAACTAAATACGCAGATGACGGACAAAAAGTGTGAAAAGTGTGCAAGTTAAATTCTTGGAAGTTATGCTTTATCAAGTTAAGCTTTAGAAAATTTAGCTTTGGTAACCATAGCACGAAAAAGTTAGTCTACAAGCTGTAACTATTGCAACAAGGTTCCCATTGCAATAGGTTCCCTCCAAGGTCTTGGAGGATTTTCCCTTGGCCAGATTAAGAAAGCTAAATCTAATCTAGAGAAGAAATCTGATTCAAGAATATACCATTCATGGAGAATCCCCAGGGAACTGTTTCCATTTGTGACCCCATGTCCTTATTCTGCTACTACGTCTGAAGCAAAGACGGAATTAATTTAGCACGTTTTCTTCCTCATGCTCTAATTGAGATGAACTTTTGAAGCAGGGTCTCCTCTAAGATTTACCTTTACTGCAGTCTATCCTTTTTCAATCGGGACAGATTTTTGGAGTTTCTTTTGAAGTAAGCTAATGGCTTCCTTCCATAAAGGCCAGCTGTGACTCATGCATATTTGTCCCTTATTAGCCATGATACCCCGTAGCTCTTAAGGTTTCTTTGCAGTTCTAATGAAATTCAACATGTTCCACACCGTTGTTTAAGCATTACAATTTAGATTTGAAATATTAACTTTATAAAATGTGTATGCATTATTTGTAATTCAACAAAATGGGACCTTACCGGAAGGGGATGAAAACAGATGCACGGTTGCTAAAAATCACAAGATAGAAATACTGTCCACCTTAGGTGAGATCACAAAATGTGAAGTGAATGATAGCACTATGCAATGGATGACACTTAAATGTACAAACTGCACTTTATTTTTTTGTCTACTTGCATCAGATGGAGCCTTTATATTTTCAAGCCTTAGAGACTAAGTTAAAAAGTAAACATATGTCTCTGAAGAAAATAAATGTGATAATTTACAAAAACTAAGAGCCAGAGAACCTTATAACCTTTAATGACTGGAGTTGAGTGAATGTGCTGAACGCATCCCTGTTAATGGAGTTGAACAGCTACACCTCATAAGAGTATCGCTCTTGTTAGACAAGTTGTGCTACTAGTAAACGGGAATGGATTACAAATTACACGCCTGGGAGGCTGGCTACTGGCATACTGGTTTTGTTACCACAAGAGAACATCCCAAGGGAATTCTCAGCCATTGGATGGACCAGTGACAATTATTCCAATTAAATTTAGATATCACCGGAGAACACCACTGTGACCTTATGACCATCGTTTTAGTTTTCAGATCTGAGGTTAGCACTAAGTGTGTTTAAGGATGAGGGGAGAAAAAATAAATCTGTCCAAATGGAAAAATCAGGGAAACAGTCCCATGTGGTGATAGAATAATATTCAGTGAACCATCAAAATCACTGCAGTAAATCAGTGTTCACTAACAAGCAATAAAAGGCAAATATTCCACCAAATCGCTTCTGCAATTAAAGCTACAAGATGAGCATTGTTTTTACAGCAAGAATTGTGTATTTTTCACCAGACAGCAATCTTTGTCCGTATTTGTTTCCGATGTCACTGTTCTGTCTATAGTAATATGAAGAATACCACTTGTTGCTACAATTTCAGTCAAAATCTATGCTTGTGCAAAAAAAATCACAGCTTGTATGGAGAGTTGTCAATCATAACATGCAATACAAAAGACTGGGATCACTACTAAATAAGAGGATCTCTCCCTTTCCTTTAGTAGGATCTCTACAAATTAGAAGCTGCTGTAAAAATCAAGTCAAAAGTTTTGTAGAAATATGTCTGTCAGTCTTATAATGTTGAAAATCTGCACTGACACTGTAATCTTCTCAAAGAAAGTTCAAGAGGAAAATAAATGCAGCACAGTGAAATTTAGTTTGGATTAAAAAATAAGCCACTAGTTTCTAAAAAACAAAAGGGCTGTTGGTGAATTATTTACGCTTGTCAATCAATAGTGCCAAAGGTAGTAAACAAGGAGTAAGAGTAAACAAAGATAACCTTCGGCTGATGAGCAGTTATCTGTTGCTCCCTGTAAAGTTAGAGCTGGGAAAACAGAAGTGAAATGAAATCGCCCCCACCCCCTCAGTTTCTCATGCACAACTTTTCACCACTCTTAAAACCATGTAATGTTTTTTTTCTCATTGTTGTCTTTTTGCATTAAACATACATTCATAAAGACAAGACAGGAGGTAGTATGTTGTACCAGAATTTACAGTACACAACTCAGCAATCCCAGAACCTAACTCACCATCATCTCCATGGTGCCTGATGCCATGATTTCTTTGGGCTTCAAGTCCTTGGTGCCAATGTAGGAGCCAATGGTATCGCACGACCAGGGTGAATACTGGCCAGTGAGGTCATGTTCACGTGTGCATTTCCCAAAAGCCTTGGAGTTCTCCTCCATGTACTGCTATCAGGGGAGAGAAAGTTACAGTTCTATTGTTATTTTAGGTTTTGATGCTATGCAGCGCAAAACCTTCATAAATGCACTACAGTGCTGACCAGAAGCCAGTACTGTGAGCAGACAGTGTCTCACTGACTTGGTAGTTACAAGCACATCTTAACTACCACAAGTGGGGAAGCTTAATAAACATAGGAAAGGTCTAGCAATCAGGTAAACAGATTAAACAATATCAAAAAAGTTTTACAGTTTAAATAACCTGTATAAGAAGTAAACAGCTCAGGCATGCAGTCTCAAATGTGTCTACACCACAGACTCGGAAAAGCAGCTGCTTGAAGAGCTACAGGGTTTTGTGCCGTACCTCCTGGGGGAAATCCGGGGGGAAGGAGTGGGGCAGCGTTGGTGATGGGGCAAAGGGAGGGGGAGAGATCACCTTCCTCTCTTCCAGCTGGGCCATGATCTCCTTACGGCGGCGATGCAGGTAATCGAGGCTAGGCTGGGATGTCCTGTTGTAAGGATCCTGGGAAGAAAGACAACGAATAAGAGACATCTTGTGAACAGCGTGGAGCTGCCAACTGTCACCTCTTCGCAGCAAAGGCAGAAAAAAGGAGAATGGGACAAGTATGGAATTAGTAGAAAATAGATGGCAACTTTGTGAACCAGTTTTTCTAAATATAAATGTTAAAAAAAGTATAACATTTCCTCCCATCCCTCATGTCATTTGGACACAATGACCAAGCAAAGAACCTCTAAACAAGAAGGCAAAGCAAGCAGCTCACGTGCTTGCTGGGTCAACTAACGAAATAAGAAATCTTGGAGACGGGACTTCCGGTTAGGATGCAGACGGGAATGGCAGCATAATACGGATCACCTCCCAACAATTTTGCAATAAAGCCCTGAAAAAAGTTATTTTTGTACATTTTACAAGGGGCTGTCAGGAGAAGCAGGAGAAAACTACCGACCGTGGAAAATATTGAAACTGCAACTCCTGACTGCAGTCAGAGCAGCTCAGCGAGTTCTGAACGAGATGGTGCAGACGCCAGTCTTCAGAAAATATTATACGAACTTAGAGACTTCAGACAGGACAATAAACAGCAGCTTGCAGCTATTAAACAGGAGTTGAGCACGGTAAATAAGAGACTGAATAAGGAAGAGGGACAGGTCGAAGAAGTGGAAACAAGGGTCTTAACAACAATAGATATTTGGTGACTACGACTAGTCTGACTTATTTCTTTATTTTCTTGGTTACCCTCTTTTTTCTTTTTGGAAAAAAAGGTTTGAACTTGCCATTGCGCCACCTGCTCCAGAGAAGGAGGACTTTCCTAATGGACTTTCTTTTTTTTTTAAAGAGAAGCCCATACAGAGTTCATTTGAAAAGAACCCCACAGTTGGAAGAAAGTACTGTGAATGAGAGGGATATGGATATAGTTTTGTTTAAGATTGTTCAGTTAATTTTTTTGCTTATTGTGATTGTTTGTGATGTATTGTTAGAGAAAACTGATGGGAAGATGATGTTTAACAATGTGAAACATAGGAACAAGTAATAGGTTTATTCCATGCTGAAAAAAAGAAGAAAGAGAACACAACGTTTCGGCCGTGGAGCCTTCTTCAGGTGTGAGAGAGACAGGGCAGTAGGCAAAGGTAAAGTAG